GGAATCTGCCTCTGAATTTCTTTTTCTGTTTGTCTTCTTTTTGTCATGCTTAAACCTGACTTTTTTTGCTTGTCTGGAGTCTCTAGTAATGAAGGTTGATTTCTCCAGGGCTAAAAAAAGGGAGGAAAGGCTTGCAAGGAACAGCAGAGAGAAGCCAGTGCACAGAATATGAATTGATTTGCAAAAGCAACTGAATTAGAGCCGAGGTAATATCCAAAATAAGGGACGCGGTGGCTCAGTGGCTGAGCTTGTCGATCGAAAGGTCAGCAGTTCAGCGGTTCGAATCCTTAGTGCCGTGTAACGGGGTGAGCTCCTGTTACTTGTCCCAGCTTCTAACAACCTAGCAGTTTGAAAACACATAAAAAAAAATGCAAGTAGAAAAATAGGGACCACATTTGGTGGGAAGGTACCAGCGTTCCGTGCGCCTTTGGCGTTTAGTCATGACGACCACATGACCACGGAGACGTCTTCGGACAGTGCTGGCTCTTCGGCTTTGAAACGGAGATGAGCACCGCCCCGCGGAGTTGGGAACGACTAGCACATATGTGCAAGGGGAACCTTTACCTTTACTTTTAAGATCCAAATAATTGCACTCGTGAGGGAGAAGCTAGAAGCACCAAATACTTTCTTCCTTTTTCAATGGTTTGCCTGTTTATTTGGAAGACGGCACTACTTACTTGCAAAGATTTCCCCATGCATAAATTTAAATGGCCTGTAGTTATTCTCAGTTAATCGCTTGATAAATTTGCAACAGGGTCCCATCCACTGCAAGATTCCAGACTGAGGAACAATTTGTTTCCAATTAATCTCACCCTAATTTCATTTAAATGCCCTCCAAAAGGCTCAAGGCAATGTTCATGAACTTTTATTATTCGAGTTCATTCTCCTGGCAAGCTAAGATGGGTGAGTCTGAATATAAAGCGATTGCTGAGCCCTTTCCTGTGATTCTGGCCTGTACTGAGGGGAATCTGAATCTAAACCAGAGTCCCATTCATAATCTGCTACACACACACACACACACACACCTGAAAATGATGTATTTTTTCCTGGGGATTGTTAAGTGGATAGGAAAATAAGCAGGGGTTCCCTCCTGGGAGTTCGCAGGGGTTCGGGAGAATCTCTAGCTAAGATTCTGTGCAGTTTGGAGAACCCCCAAATCCCATTCCTGGCTGGCCCCACCCATCCTACCCTGCCCCTCCCAGGAGTCCCACGCAGCCCATTTTGGATGCAGATAAGTGCAGGGTGAGCACGGAGGCTCGGGGAGGGTGAAAAACAGGCCTACTGGAAGTTTGGGAAGGCCGGAAACGGGCCCATTTCTGGCCTCCATAGGGCCTCCGGAGCCTGGGGAGGCTGTTTTCGCCCACCTGGAGGCTTGAGGAAAGCCTCCGGAGCCTGGGGAGGGCAAAAATGCCCCCCCCCCCCGCTGTGGTGCAGGAGGCCGACTAGGCCACGCCCACCCTGGCCACGCCACTGCAACCAGGCAGAGAACCCCTTGCTAAAATTTTTGAAGCCCAGCCCTGCCTTGAAAATAAGGTAGCTCTTCCTCTTTTTATCTGTTTTCTGTCTTCTCCACCTGCTTCCGTCTCCATATGGGAAAGCTTTCTCTTTTCCCCCGAAACTTTATTAAATTTCAGAAAAATATAAAATACAAAGTAAAAGGAATCTCAGGAGGCAAAGTTCTCATCTCCACTGACTCTCCTGGGGTCAGGAATGTGACGGGTAGCCAACAGAATCACTATTAGAGCTGGATGGTGAGATATACATATACATACATATTTGTCTATGTAAGTTTTCACGGGTATATATGTGTGTACAGTTAATATTTCGGGTTTCTTCCCGTGTAATTGTGAACATATCCCTAAAAGGGTTATATATATACCAGCCATGTCAAGTTGCCAGATCTGATGCTCTGTAATACATTGCTCTTCCCATGCAAGTCAACCTTCTCAACCTGGTGCTCTTTAGATGCACTTTGGGCAACTTCTAATTCTTGCAACTGTAGGCCCGACATATTTAGGAACCACAAGGATGGGGATCACCTTTCTGCTATAATTTAGATCCCTTTAGTTAAATATATTACCTAAAAATACAAAGTAATTATAATTTCAGTTCTGGTGCCAAGTATACTGGAGGAAACCTTAATTAAAATCAACGAGTAGATTAAATGCAATTAATATCATCTCTCTGGAAAAAGTGCTATAAAATTCTGATTTCTATCTCTTTTCAGATTTTACACAATTTCCTTTCTGCAAGGAGCTAAACTGAAGCTAAATTCTTCAATTTTGCAAATTCAGTAGCGGAGATGCACAGGACACCTAGTGGCTGTTGGCTGTAAATACATCATCCTCTTGTGAAATGCCTTCAAGACATCACAAACTAAACAGCTATCAGGCTTCAACCAGGAATATTGGTGAACATGGATGAATTGCTCAAAATAACCCAGAGGTCTAGTCTAGTCTAACCTAGTGGAAGAACAGATCTGCTCTTTTGCAATAACAAAAATGAAGACTGAAGATTTGCAACATTCTCAGTTGCAGTCTGAGGGACTGGATCCACACAACTTTTGTTGGCAAAAGCTGTTGTGGCCCGCCAGTTGCCAGAATAGCTGGCAGCAGATTCAGACAATGAGGAGGTTGGGGAGGAACTTGGGTCAGTTCTGGAGCCTGGGGAAGACTCTGATGGATGCTCTGCATCAGATTCAGAGATAGAGCCAGGGCCGTCCGACATTTCCCAGCCACCGGAGAGGCAGCTGCCTTTGGAGGCTGAGATGAGTGAGGAGGAAGAACAGCTGGGGCCTGTTCCAGATGAATGTATGCGCAGGGCTGTTAGGAGAGGAGAACAACTGAGGACAAGAAGTCGACTCGGGAAGCAAGATATACGTGGACACTGAATAGCCCCTCCCTGGCTAGGGAATAAATAAATGGAAAGAAGAGAGGTTGTCATAGGAGACAACAGTTTGTATTTCTGAAGATTTTGCTCATTGTGTTTCGTGCCACAAAGACTGCTTGCCAGAACTTAAATTTTCAGCCTTTCAGCTGGGAGCTCACCATTATCGCAAAGAACTGATAAGGTCTGTAACTCTTTGAAGGACTATTGCCTGGACTTTTCCTTGTGTTATAAAGAGGGTTTTTTTGTGACAAGGAGTCTGTTTCTTGTTTCTGCAAAGGCTGGGTCAGAACAAAAGCATTAGTTGTAGAAACCTATGAAAGAATTCAATGCAGACCGAAGGGCAATGGAACAACGGTGGCTCTGCAGCCCACATCCCACATAACGGCCACTAAAATATTTTTGGAAAACGACCAAGTGCATACGACATGAACTGAAAAAAATGGATAGCCGAGGTTGTAGGAAGACGATATTTTTATTGCTCCGGGACAATATTTTTCTTTTAGGCTCCTGTAATGCTCAGATTGTTGGTATCTGCTGTCTATTCTCAATGTTTCAGGACTGGAAGAATTGAAACAGGTTGGCTTCACACTGCTTTGTAAAGAACTGGGGGATTGTATGGTAGCAAAGTCTCATAATTAATAGGTCACTGGGCCAAAGTATAGACTTAGCACCTAACATGTTTCCCTGAAAATAAGACCCTGTCTTATATTTTTTGCCACCAAAAAAGGCACCAGGTCTTATTTTTGGAGGGGGAGAAGGATGTCATTCACTGACTCACCTCACTTGAAGGCGTCGCCCCTGGCCTCCTTTTCGCTGTCCGAGGCCTTCAGGTACTTCTTCTGTAGCCAGGAAGTCTTTCCTGAAAGTCTCTGCAGCCTCTGGATCGATCCAGAGCTGTTATCAGCTGCAGAGGTCTTTAGGAAAGCCTTGCCGGCCTTGTTGGCTGCAGAAGAAATGGGCTGGCAAGTCAGGTTTCGGGGTGTGTGAGGACTGACTGCAACTGTCCAAAGGTAAGGGCAACTCCACCCTAGCTTTTTACCCATGCACCCTGGAGTGGATGGGGTCTTAATTAGGGTTTATTTGGGGGGTAGGGCTTATATTGGGTGCACATGTGAAAATCAAGCTAGGACTTACTTTCTGAGGAGGTCATATTTTCAGGGAAACACAGTAGAGCAGGGGTGAGCAACTATGGCTGGCAATTGAAGTCCACAGGTCATAAAAGGGCCATAGTGGCCCACCCCTGACTTAGAAGTTAAGGCAGAAACTGATAACTTTAAATCTGCCACTCAAATGCCAGGGATTTCCTACAAAGAGAACATGCTCTGGGTCGAATCTCCATGCGTGGTATTTTTAAGTGTTCTTACTGTTTCTCCCCAAAAATGAGACCCTGTCTTATATTTTTTGAACCCCACAATAAGCGCTTGGCCTTATTTTCAGGGATTATTTTGGGGCACGTGGAGCAAGAGGGGGCTCTTCTTGCCATTTTACCTGATTTCCAGCTCTGCGTTTAAATATTTTCGGGGTGGGCTTATTTTTTTGGGGGGGGAGGCTTATTTTATCACATGCGCTCAAAAGCCCGATTGGGCTTATTATCAGGGGATGTCTTATTTTCGGGAAAACAGAGTACACGTTCTGCCTTTCATACTAGGCATACTTTTGGAGAGTAAAATACCTTGGGTGGAGGCTGGGTGACTTATCAAACATTAACAACTAACAGGCAATTTGGCCTAGTGGTGAAGGCATCATGCTATAGACGGTGAAACTCCCACCTGAAACTTTGGGTCAGTCACACTTTCCACCCAACCAGTGCTGTTATGAGGAAAATTGGAGAAGGACTAGGGATGTTCACTGCCTTGAGTTATTTATAAAAGTAAGAAAGAAAGGGGAGTTTTTAATTGGGCCCAGAATTATGCTCAAAAGTTATGGCAGCACAATTTAGGATTTGGGGAATGAGATGCAATTGTTGGGAAAATTTTGGATGGAGCAGACATAATGATAGTGGTGGTTTATGGGAGAGAGGGACGCAGTGGCTCAGTGGGTAAGACACTGAACTTGTTGATCGAAAGGTCGGCAGTTCAGCGGTTCGAATTTCCTTTATCACTTTGCTACAATTCCTTTATTTATTTATTTATTTTGAAAAAACACACTAGTTTAAAAAAAACAGACACGAACCTCCACAGTATGTAACGCATCTCATACACTACAATAAAAATAATAAATACACACAGAAAATACAACTTGATGAGCAGCCATGAACTACTGTGCTAACAGCTAAAAGTCCTTGTTTTCCTTTGCTCCACAGGTGTGTGGTCCGTAACCAACCAAGAGCTGTTCCTCTGATAAAGTCAGACTTGTGGAAATTAGAGGCCTTAAAAAGAAGATATTTGAGAGAAGTACCTTTACATTTGTACCAGTTTCAGTCAGCAGAAAAAAAGCTCTGATATTATTATTATTATTATTATTATTATTATTATTATTATTATTATTATTATTATTATTATTATTTGTATTTCTATGCCGCCCACTCTCCGAGAACTCTGGGTGGCTTACACCAAAGACAGTATACTAAATAGGATATTGCCCCCAACAATCTGGGTCCTCATTTTACCCACCTCGGAAGGATGGAAGGCTGAATCAACCTTGAGCCGGTGAGATTTGATCCGCTGATCTGCTGAACTAGCAGTCAGCTGAAGTAGCTGCAGTACAGCGCTCTAACCACTGCGCCACCTCGCCTCTTAATTTTAATTTTCACCTAAATTATCTCTTTCGATTCTGTTTAGAATGCAGCATCCAATTCTTCCTAATATAAACCCATCCAATCTTCTACTACTGGCTGCGGAAATTATTCGGAGGGACATTAGTATTTTACCTAAAAAATGATACAGCCTTTTAGCTTGTAGAAATTTAATTCAGATGGGGGCTTTGACAAAAGCAGGGAGGGGGCCCCTGAGCTGAGCTTTGCCAATTAGCTCTTCCGTCCCACCATATTAATGGTGGGAACAGCTTGTCCTGTTTAAGTAGTAGATCCAACCTAGCAAACGAGCAGCTCTGAAAGATCCATGCACTCATTAAACCAGAGGATCTTTTAGATAATGGATCAGAAGACGAATCTGTGCAGATAGATGTTCATTTGCCAGGTGAGCTCAACCCCAACATCTGGGGCCCCTGATCAGCTCTGCGGGAGGCCTTTGCAAAGTGAAGCTGCTTTCCTCTCACGTCCCCACAGATGAGTTAAAATATGGCTTTGTTTAAAAAGGTTATATAAAAAAGGTTCTGGAGAGGAGAATCGCTTGAGCCCTTGCGGTATTTCCTGGGCTTAAGGATGCGGCCAATTTGTATCTTCACTAAAAAGAGAGAGCAGGAGGGAGAGAGGGGGGAGGGAGGGAGAGAGGGAGGGAGAGAGAGGGAGAAGGGCGGAGGGAGAGAGAGAGAGAGAGAAGGAGGGATGGAGAGAGGGAGGGGGGCCGCAGGAGCTGTGCCAGCATGCAGGAGGCTGTGGTTTGGAGGCCTCCCTCTGGGCGCAGGGCTACGGAGAGTCAGATCAGGGCCTGGAAGAGGGCTCCCTTCCTTTGCTTGTCCCCTCAGAGTCACGGCTTCTTCGAGGGCTGCTCTCACTCCGCTTCAGAGAAGAACCACTGGACACGTCCGCCTCATCCGGGCCAACGAACAAGGCTGCCCTGCTTTCCTCCTCCTCCTCACGCTGAGCCGTGGCAACTAAAGGGTCAGGTTTCACTGGTGAATCAATGCCTGGCATATTAAAGACAACACAAAAGGGTCACAAAAGTGGAGCTGGGCCATAGCACCGGCCCCACGGATGAGACCTTCATCTCCCCGACATGATCCCTCCTTTGTTTACCAAGCGAAGCTTTAAAAAAACCGGAACAGCGGAAGTTCCTTGAGAAAAATAATTAGCACTTCCTAATAATGCCTGAACTGAGATGGCAGGCACTTTCCTATGCCAGAACCATAGCTCTTCTGAATTTGAATTAATCTAAAACCTGCGGGCCGCATACGGCCTGTGGGGCCGCCTTGGAAACAACGAAGGACCAGCCTGTGGTGCCTCTGCCACAGGCGGCCCTCCTGAGCTCCATTTTTACTTGCGGAGGATTGCAGGAGGCCGTGGCAGCTGAAAATAGAGCTCAGGAGCCCGTTTTCACTGGCAGAGCGCTCGGGCCACCACAGGCACCCCCAACACAAGTGATGTCAAGCTGGCCACGCCCACCCTGGCCACGCCCCCAGCCCCCCCAAGGTCAAACACAACCCTGATGCGGCCCTCAATGCTGCTACCGATAACCTCCCACCGGCCAATACACTCTCACAGAGAGGGCCTCCTCAGGGTGCCGTCGGTCAAGCAATGTCGGCTGGCGGCCCCCAGCGGGAGAGCCTTCTCTGTGGGAGCACCGGCCCTCTGGAACGAGCTACCTCCCGGAATACGGCTGATTCCGGATCTCTGCACTTTCCGTAAGGCCCTGAAGACGTTTTTATTTCAACAAGCCGGCCTGGCCTGAATAGGTTTTAGGGGTTAGTTTTTTTAATTGTATTGCTAGGGGTTTTAAATAGGGGCGGCCGTTTAATTTAATTTATTCTTAATTATTTTAACTTTTATATTGTATGTTATTTTAATTCTCGGCTGTTCACCGCCCTGAGTCCCTTCGGGGAGAAGGGCGGGATATAAATTTAATAAATGAATAAATAAATAAATAAACAAATAAATAAATAAATAAATGAAATCGAGTTTGACACTCCCGATCTAAAAGAAATATCTGCAAATAATAGTTCTAGACCAGCGGAGTTTGAAGAGAGACAGTCTCAGAAGTACTTGACAATATAATATTGCCACCTATGCATTTTGGTTCTTGGGGCTTTGCCTGAAAATAACGTACTATTGAGGTGGACTAGGGTGATCTCCAAGCCCCTTTCAATCCTAAAATATTATGATCTGTCAGTTCTGGATCATCTGTGGAGCTCAGGCAGCAATTAAAGAAAAACAGGAACATCCAGAAAAATCAAAAGCACCCGGCTTGTCAAAAATAGGGGATCAGCCAGCCCCAAAGATCTCTTTACCTAATGGGCTCCGAGTTGCTCATCTCCCCAGAGCCCCCCAAAGGGAAAGAGGTCCACCTGCTTGTCCTTCAGCCCCTGCAGAGCCCAGCTGGACGGATGAGGGAGCTCCAAAGGCTGGTCTGGTCTTGCTCCTGGGGCCCTGAGGTTGCTCGCTGGCTCCAACTTACTCAGCTCTTGGTAAACCGAAGTGGCTTCTTTGGCCAAGAACAGGGGTGGCTTTTGAGGGGACCCCGTCTCCATCCTCATGAACTCTTCACAGCAGTGCTTCCACTGACCTGGAGAGAAATCAGGAAAGGAACCGAGTTCATATTCTCCATGTTTAAATACTAGCCAACATAATTCCAAATAAGCATTTCCCCCATAAAAACGTGCTTTTATAATCGCACCTGATTGACAGGTAAACCGAACTTCCCTTACGGCGATCATCTCTTACAGCAGGGGTCAGCAATCTGCGGCTCAGGAGCCGCATGTGGCTCTTTCCCTCCTCTGCTGCAGCTCCCTGTCACTCAAAATAGGCATCACAACCACCAATGTGTGACACCTGCCGGCACGCAATTTATTGAGCTTTTCAACCCCCAGTAGGCCAACCATGGATAAATCCAAGAAAAGTTTCAGAAGAAAACAGAACTTTTAATTCAACTACATATGCTAGTTTTGTGGCTGCTCAAGAAATAGTCAGGCACGGGAAGGGTTTTGTAGCTCCCGGTGTTTTCTTTTCTGTGGGAAACGGGTCCAAATGGCTCTTTGAGTGTTTAAGGTTGCAGACCCATGTCTTAAGGTAAAGGTTCCCCTCGCACATATGTGCTAGTCGTTCCCAACTCTAGGGGGCAGTGTTCATCTCCGTTTCAAAGCCGAAGAGCCAGCGCTGTCTGAAGACGTCTCTGTGGTCATGTGTCTGGCATGACTAAATGCCAAAGGTGCATGGAGTGCTGTTACCTTCCCACCAAAAATGGTCCCTATTTTTCTACTTGCATTTTTTACATGCTTTCAAACTGCTAGGTTGGCAGAAGCTGGGACAAGGAACGGGAGCTCACCCCGTTACGCGGCACTAGGGATTCGAACCACTGAACTGCCGACCTTTCGATCGACAAACTCAGCGTCTTAGCCACTGAGCCACCGCGTCCCTTTGATCATCTCTTAGGTAGCCATAAAGCCGCTGAATCAACCACAGCCAAGCTAACTGATATTTCATATTTCCAAGACAAGATGTGGATAATTGCAGTGGGTGGCCCAACTCCGTCTTTACCATCACAACTTTATACTTCGTTGTTATCGATCTGACATGGCCATTTATTAGCAAGGTCCTCGGGAAGCCCTAATCCCTCCAGAGACCATTATAAACAAGTTTTAATAGTCTCTGGTGACGTGGTGGTTAGAATGCAGTATTGCAGGCTAACACTGCCTACTGCCAGCAGTTCATTCCTGACCAGCTCAAAGTTGTCTCAGCCTTCCATCCTTCCAAGATCAGTAAAATGAGGATCCAGATTGTTGGGGGCAAGACAGGGGTGAAATGCTATCGGTTCGGGCCAGTTCGCCCGAACAGGTATTAAAAAAATGCTTAAAAAGTAAAAAAATAAATAAATTCCGAAGATCAGCTGAGGAACCGGTATTTAAAAATGCTTTAAAAAGTTTAAAAAAAAGTTCCAACGATCCTGCGTCACTCAGCTGATCTTCGAAACTTTTTTTTTTTTTACTTTTTAAGCATTTTTTTAAACTATCAGTTCTGGTAGTTAAAAATGCTTTAAAAAGTAAAAAAAAAAGAAAAAAAAAGCAGGAAATCCAAAAGTGTGTGTTTGCACATGCATGCACAGCGTGCATCTGGTGTGCACTGCACATGCGTGGGAAGCGAACCGGTGGTGACCGGCGGAGGATGTCACCACTGGGGCAAGATGATCACTCTGTAAAACCGCTTAGAGAGGGCTGTAAAACCCCTGTGAAGCGGTATATAAGTCTAGGTGCTGTTGCTATTTGGGCTTTTGGGCCCTCCCTCTGAGGGGGCCGATGTCAGCGTTTCAACGTTGGCATAGAGAGCAGAGGAGAGTGAGCGATAAACTCTGAAACTTTTGCCTGCTAAATCCCTTTGAAGCCCGGTTGTCGTGGAAATGAGGGGAGGGGGCACATTCCTGGGAAATGACGAGAAAAGAAGTCTGAAGAATGACTTGGAAGATAGCCAATGAGAAGCAGAGATTTGGGGATCGGAAAGGGAGGATTGGGGGACAAAAGGTCAGTCTTGTCCGCGTGGAATCATGATCCGGTGGCTGTGCTCAATTAAAGAAAGATTTCCTTAAAGATTGGCAGTTTGGAAATTCATTTAATTTTGAGATAGCATCGTAGTCTGACAGCCTGCATAAAGCCAAATTGTGCCACTTTTGTCAGATTCCATTGTGGCTACGGGGGACGGGGGACGCAGTTTTGCAAATGTTGGGGCTGTTGTGCAAGGGCAACTTCCCTCCAACCACGAAAAAAGGAAGACGAGCCACTTACTGAAATCAAAAAAGTGCTGCGAGAACGCTTCCATCCACTTGCAAAGATCCTGCTGGCTTTCTGCTTGGAAAATCCGAGCTGTGTCCTCGCCAGGCTCAGGGTTGATCACAGAGAAAAGGTTGGCCTTTTTCCCAGCCTCTTCATCCACAGGACGAATGTGAGTTTCCTAAACGTTACACAAAACCGTAATGTTGCCGTGCGCACATTGTGTGGTCTCCTTTAACCTGGTTTCAGCTGAAACATAAACACACAACACACACAAACACACACCGGACTTTCTGCTCTTCTCCATGTCCATCCACCCCAGCAACCATTCAATGTGCAGCTTTATTTTTTTTACATCTTATTGTCCTGGTGGGAAAAAAATAAGTAGATGTCCCAAGAACTGACCATCCATCAAGCCGGCCTAGCCTAAATGGCTCTTAATTGGGATTTTAAATTTTATAGACTTGGTGGTTTTAAATTGGGAAGCCAATTATTTAATTCTTTTTAATGATCTTAACTTTTGTATTGTATGTTTTTTAATTTTGGCTGTTCACCGCCCTGAGTCCCTTCTGGGAGAAGGCCGGTATACAAATTAATTAAATAAATAAATAAAAAACACGCAGAATATTTTCACAGATTTTTAAAGAGGCTCTCCTGGAAGAGTGGTTTGACATCCACGGATTTCTGTTTGTAGCTTGGTCTGATTCATTTGCTCATTTAAAACTTTCATTCTAAAAATAGAAGATTAAGTAATGCATCCATAAATGTTGGCCTCCGGTTAATGCAGGTAACCATAGATACCAGTAGAAAACTAAGCCAAGCGGTTTTGCATTCAACAGGATAGAACTGCGGGCCTCCCAGTGGCAAGAATTCATTTAGCATCTGCACCGTGCAGGGGTGAAATCCAGCAGGTTCTGACAGGTTCTGGAGAACTGGTAGCAGAAATTTTGAGTAGTTCGGAGAACCGGCAAATACCACCTCTGACTGGCCCCACAGTGGGGCGGGAATGGAGATTTTGCAATATCCTCCCCCCCAGGAATGGGGATTTTGCAGTATCCTTCCCCTGGAGTGGGGTGGGAATGGAGATTTTGCAATATCCTCCCCCCAGGAATGGGGATTTTGCAGTATCCTTCCCCTGGAGTGGGGCGGGAATGGAGATTTTGCAATATCCTCCCCCCAGGAATGGGGATTTTGCAGTATCCTTCCCCTGGAGTGGGGTGGGAATGGAGATTTTGCAGTATCCTTCCTAGTGGTGGGTTCTACTTACCTTTACTACCAGTGTGCAACAGGAAGCTTCTGCGCATGCGCGGATCACCAATGACAACATCTGGGGTGGGTGGGTGGGCGGCGTCTCCCGCTGGTTTTACTACCGGTTCTTGTGAACCAATCCGAACCGGGGGCAACTTACCACTGATCCTTCCCTTGTCATGCCCACTAAGCCACACCACGCCCGCCAAGCCATACCCACAGAACCAAAAAATTGAATTTCACCACTGGCACTGTGTCTCGTGCCACAAATGCTTTTACAAAGGAAAAGCTGTCCTCTGATGAAAACCACTTTATTCTTCTTTTGGTTATTCAAGGAGTGGAAGATGCTAACTTCAGCAATAACAGGCCCGTCCTTCTGTAGCTGCAATGCAGTCATGCAGCAGAGGGAAAATGTCCAAGGAACAGCATATTAAGGATCTTATTTCAAAGCAGCATCTGTAGCAGGATACAGATTTAAGCAAGCAGCGAAGTGCTCCCCAACTCTCCAAGTTGGTTGGTCATAATACCGTGTTTCCCCGAAAATAAGACCCTGCCTTATATTTTTTTTTGAACCCTGAAATAAGCGCTTGGCCTTATTGCCATGCACTCAAAAGCCCGATTGGGGATGTCAGGGGATGATTATTATCAGGGGATGTCTTATCTTGGGGGAATCAGGGTAAATGCCTAAATGGGTTCCAGAGCCAGACACGGGATGGGTGGAGAGAGGGAAGGAGGGGGAGGGGGAGGGGTGGTGCTCTTCTACTAAATTCCCTAAGCTGGGAAAATAAGTTTCAACCAAATGCCCAAATCTGGGAAGCTCTTTGGCCCCAGCTCCAGTCCATTGTGAAACGGGGTCAGTGGGTGGACACTTTCGCTGCTCCCTGCTTTTTAAGTCCGCATTTCTCACCCAGGGCAATGCCACCCTTCATACATATAGGCATTTAACCAATGAAACATGAATAAAGTGTAACAAGACCCCGACAATTAATTAATTAATTAATTAATGATTAAACAATGCTTGGCTTTACCCGGTTGATGGGAACGGACAAGGCCGGCTCCGCATCGGCCTCTCTTTCTTTGGGGGCAGAGAAGCAGAGCAGCTGTCCCCCTCTCAGCACACAGTATCGCCGCCTCCAAGTCTCCCCTGGGACGCCCCCCGATGGCTGTAAGAAATGTCGTCGGTCACAGATCGCCCCCCCCCCAAAGATTATTTCACCCTCAGGTGAATTACAAGCCCTTATCGGGAAAGGAAAGCTGTCAACGAATGGCCTTCATGACTCTTCATGAAGAGCCTGGTGGCGCAGCAGACTAATAGCCTGTTATTATCATCTAGCTGCCTGCAATTACTGGAGGTTCGAATCTCACCAGGCTCAAGGTTGACTCAGCCTTCCATCCTTTCTAAGGTAGGTAAATTGAGGACCCAGTTTGTGGAGGCAATAAGCTGACTTTGTATAAAATATACAAAAGGATGAAGGCTATTGCTTAACGCATTGTAAGCCGCCCTGAGTCTCCGCAGACGGGCGGCATATAAATCAAATTAAAAATAAAATAAAATAAAATAAAATAAAGGGCGAAAGCGAGTCTCAAAAGGATCGATTGGGACAACTAGGGGGCCTCTGGTACTCTCCCCACCCACCCAGAGCCCCACTGAAAATGCTGCTTGACAAATGAACAACGGAGGCTCGTCTTCTCTCCGCTGGGCGCGTCATCCAGCCTCTTCACCTAAATTCAGAGGGCACCTGGACCCCTCCTGCACCCACAGGTGACCCAATATAATCCAGACAAAACCTTTCACTAAAAGGACATAAATCATGGACAAAAGAGTAGTGGCCTCCAGGGCATTTGTTGGAATGGCCCCCTTGGAGAGAAAGCAGCAGAGATAAAATCCAGATATTATAAAAGGAGGCACAAATTGAAGAAATTCTCTCCCTGAGGAGCCACAAGGCCCTTAAAAATGTGTATTAGCTGGAGCTTGTGTTTTGGTATTCCCAGTGGGAAGAGGCTCCCCCAGGTGGGCATGGCCTCTCCTTCTGGGGGAGGTCTTCTGGCCCTCCACCCTCTTTGTTGTGGCCCGCCAGCAGAACTGGCAGCAGAGATGGACAGTGAGGAGGTTGGGGAGGAACATGGGCCAGTCCTGGAGTCTGGGGAAGGCTCTGATGAGGGCTCTGTGCCAGAGGCAGAGAGGAGGCCAGGGCCATATGCCAGTTATCAGCTGCCTTCGGAGTCAGACATCAGTGAGGGAGAAGAACAGCTGGAGCCTGTTCCCAGTGTGCGCATGCACAGAGTTGCCAGACGAAGGGAATAACTAAGGAACAAGGGTCGACTTGGGAGTAAGGCCATAGGTGGACGATGAAGGGCCCCTCCCAGAAGGAATAAAAGACGAGCTAAAGGGGAGTGGAGTTTGCAGGAGACAATTAGTTTGTTCCTGCATTCTTGCCAAGTATTGTGGCATCTGAAAGATATCGGCCTGGCCACCCTCCAAGCCTGATAAAAGTCAGTAATTGTGAACTATCCTGAAAGACTGTGGGAGAAGAAAGACTTTGCTGGAGAGGAATTCACTGTAAATTAAATAAAAGGGGTTTATCAGGACGAGGACTCGGCTTCATGCTGCTGGGGAAGCCTCCTTCCAGCCAGGGCAAGGAGCAGAGAAAGCAGGAGGACCATCCCTTCCTCGAGAGAGGACCAGATCTGCTGCCTCTCAGTGTCCAGCATGGAGGGAGGGATGGAGGGAGCTTCCACCTTGCTCTTGGCATCCAAGGGGCAGTCGGGGTTATCAGTGTCCTGGGAAGAGACAGACTGCTCTGCGGGATCCAGCTGAAGATGGCAAAAGAGCTGCCAAGTCTTCCTCAAGATTGAACAGGCATTTAAAAAGGCTGCTGTCCAAATGAAAGGCCCATCGGGCATTTTTACCTGTTCATTAAGAAATCCGGTCATGGCATCCTGGGTCATGCAGTCCGGCTGAGCAACCAGGCGGCAGCACATGGTGCCATACAGCGGAAGCCAAGAAGGAGAATCCTCTGCAAAGACAACCCAGGACAAACCGGCCACTTAGACCCCATGCTCCTTGGCCAAATTCACACTGAACAATAACTGAGCAGGCACGGAGCAAAAGAGCAACCTCCTGATTTATGAATTCACTCCACGGGTGAGATCTTTAGACTGGAAGAAAAGCCACAGGGAAATGAGGCTGGTGCCAGGTCCGCTCCTTCACCGGGAGATTCTCCCAGGCCAGAGTGGGGCACAGGGCCTCCTCTCATTTCCATGGGGTGGGAGAATCCAAAGATGGCTCCCAGCCTATCGGGTAGCCAGTGGTCTATGGGCTTTGCACTGTGCATTTACTTATTAACTGAACCATCCTTAAGGCTGCCTATCTCAGCCTAGTCATCCTGGGTAGCTGACAGTACATAAAAATATGAAGTGGAGCAAAATAAACGCACCCAGCGAAGTACCATACAATCAATCCTCCAAACAAAACTCACCCACAACATCTGGCAAAATATGCACCCAAAGCTCAACTAACATTCTGGCCCAATTCCGGTGGGAAACGTCAATTTTTCAAAGTCTTCTGGAAGATCAACTCTCACGATCCAAACTTATTGGGGCATCTTCAGAATTTCTTCCTCAAAGCAAATATTTTCACACGCACAATATATATATAGTTACGCCTCCACACCTCTGGCCCAAAGCAAGACAAAATAAAAAGGAATGTGAGCCTTTTGCAGCTTCCAAGCAGAAGATTTGGCAGGTCTTGTTCTGCACTGGCAGAAATTGCACAGGTACAGTATAGGTCCATGATGGCGAACTATGGCACACGTGCCCGAAGTGGCACGAGGAACCATGTCACCTGGCATGCATGGTGTCACCCATTCCTGTTCTGGGTTTCTGGCATGCATGCACGCACGACGATCAGCTGGCCTTTGTGCGTGTGGCAGTGCCGGAAGCTGGAAGAGCTGATTTCCCATTTTCCTGCATGATTTTGCTCACTGGCCAGCTGATTGTTGTGCGTGCATACAGGCCAGAAACCCAGAACACTAGCTGGCTGAAACTGGAAGTTCATTTTTGGGCACATGCATGCGCTCTGGGCAGCTCCTCTTCCAGGTTGTGGCCCAGATGAGCACACATGCACGTACATGCTCCGTTTTTGGCACTCGGTGCCGAAAAGATTCGCCATCACTGGTATAGGTGGTGCTTGGCTCAATAGTAATAACTGCGAGAGGGACCTTGGAGTCCTAGTGGACAACCATTTAAATATGAGCCAGCCATGTGCTGCAGCTGCCAAAAAAGCCAATGCAGTTCTAGGCTGCATAAACAGAGGGATAGAATCAAGACCACATGAAGTGATCCGTCGCGCGCTTAAGACTTTTTTGTTTCATCAAGCTGGCCTGGCCTAAATCATCTCCCCTTTTTAAATGTAAATTTTAATTTGTTTTAAATTATGGGGTATTTTAAATTCAGCCAAATTATTTAATTCATTTTTAACTTATTTTAAATTTTTGTATTTATGTGTTTTATCTTGTGGCTGTTCACCGCCCTGAGTCCTTCGGGAGAAGGGCGGTATAGAAATTTAATAAAATAAATAAATAAATAAGTAAAATAAGTGTTAATAGCACTTTATAAGGCCTTGGTAAGGCCACACTTGGAATTCTGCATCCAGTTTTGGTCACCATGATGTAAAAAAGATGTTGAGACTCTAGAAAGAGTGCAAAAAAGAGCCACAAAGATGATTAGGGGACTGGAGGCTAAAACATATAAAGAACAGTTGCAGGAACTGGGTGAATGTTTTCTAGTTTAATGAAAAGAAGGACTAGGGGAGACATGACAGCAGTGTTCCAATATCTCAGGGGCTGCCACAAAGAAGAGGGAGTCAAGCTATTTTCCAAAGCACCTGAAGGCAGGACAAGAAGCAACAGGTGGAAACTAAACAAGGAGAGAAGCAACCTAGAACTAAGGAGAAATTTCCTGACAGTTAGAACAATCAATCAGTGGAACAACTTGCCTCCAGAAATTGTGAATGCTCCAACACTGGAAGTTTTAAAGAACAGATTAGATAACCATTTGTCTGAAGTGGTGCAGGGTTTCCTGCCTAAGCAGGGGGTTGGACTAATAGACCTCCAAGGTCCCTTCCAACTCTGTTATTCTATTCTAAATTCATGCTGACATGTCTCCCAGAGACCAGCGGAGAGCAGACATTCCCGTCCGTCTGATACTTCAAGGAAACACAGAATGAGGCGACACGGGACAAGGGCTTCCAGGCAGCCCCAAGAGAAACCTCTGAAGGAAGGTTGCTCTTCTCCCGGCTTCTTCTGCCCCTCCATAAAGATGTCCAGGGAGAAAAGTTTCCTGAACTCAAGACAGGAACACAATTCCACCTGCATGGGTTGCGGTGAGAGAAGGCGCAGCACAAAAAAATGCACAGCTTCTCCAAAGACAACTTGGAAGGATTTGGAGGGATTCAACATTTTCAACATAACTTACCATTTCCCAAGAGTGTGAGGCTGTGGGCGTTGAAGGCATCCTTGGCGTTCTCCAAGCTCAGGGAGGCAGAGGCCAGCAAGCTGTAATTCACGCCACTGGTTAAGAGAGAGGAAACACTCACAGATGGATCCAATGGCGGTCTCTATACATTTTGTCAGAGTATAAATATTCATAGACTGGAATAGACATGACAACAGGTCAGCCAATGGGGACTGTTTGGATAGACATGGCAACATGTTAAACCACTCCTTCGCGGTCTGCATTGGCTCCCGGTTGTCTTCCGAGTGCAATTCAAGGTGCTGGTGATCACATTTAAAGCCCTACGTGGCCTAGGACCAGAGTACTTGCGAGACCACCTTCTGCCACTGGTGGCCTTCCATTGCCTGGTTCGCTCCCAGAGGTGGCTTCCTCAGGGTACCTTCGGCTGGACAATGTCAACTGGTGACCCCTAGGGGGCGAGCCTTCTCTGTGGGAGCCCCTACCCTCTGGAATACGTTACCCCTGGAGCTCCGGATAATCCCCGACCTCCGAACCTTCCGCCGGGCCTTGAAGATCTGGCTCTTCCAAAGGACGGGCCTGGGTTGACTCTATACTGATTTTGTAGCTTTTTATATTCTTAAATCTTAAATTTGAATTGGTATTCCCACGTTTAACTTTATTTATTGGATACTCTGTTTTAATTTGTCTTTTAATTTTTGTATTTTCTGTCTCTTATTGTTGTGAACCACCCTGAGTCCTTCGGGAGAAGGGCAGCATATATATATATATATATATAAATATATAAATATATAAATATATAAATATATAAATATATAAATATATAAATAAATAAATAAATAAATAAATAAATAAATAGGTCAGCCAATGGGGACTGTTTGGAAACTGAAACATGGTATTTGTTTGTATGGGGCCATAAGAGACAGTTTGGAGCCTGGGCGTGGCTTAGACTTGCTGAACTGTATATAAGAGTTAGTTTGGCCTCTGTAATGGGTGCCTCTATACAATATATTAGCCACTGTCTCTCTCTACTCTGTAATGACTTGCTTCTATGAATAGGGCTTCTGTGTTCCCGATTTTGTATGCTGACTTCTGCTGTATGGTATTGTAACTAAAGAAGTTTCTTATGTAGTTGAATCCTCCTGAATTGTCTGATTGCAACAAGCTCTGACACATTTGGCCTTTGCTATTTGTACCTCTCCAAAAAGCAAGGGGAGAATTGGTGGAAAAGGACAGGGGCGAGGAGGGGGAGATCACCAGAAGGTAGTGCTTGGAGCATCCAGAGCACATCGGGGGCTCACAAGGCTTGTGCAAATGACCCGCCTGTCCCTTGGCCTCTGCCACCTTCCCCCTCCCAAATTCCTCTTTTGCTTTGTGGCTCAGTTAGAGCCGAATGGAGGGCCAGTTTTCCTCGACCAACAGCTTCCTTCCTTCCTGATATGCTGGCACTGCCCAGGCAGCCCAGCAATCATCACTGGGCACTTTATCAAAATAATCAAAATGCATTATCAAAATAATCCTGTAGCCGAGTTTTTATTTGGAATTTGCACGGCACAAGCAGAGACTGTATCAAGGATCCCCTGGCTATTTATGGGGGGCGGGGGGGGGGGGGGGGAGAGGGATGTTGTTGACTTAGCTGCTCGTGAGTTTAGGAGCTCTTCGCAGCTCCAAAAGCGATAAGCAAGAAATTCATGGTGGTGTATTTGGTCTCCTCTGTGTTTCCTTTGCGGTTTCCCTTTTGCGAACACAGAGGGATTTTTTAAAATTCTGCTTTTCTGCCCACAGACCCCAGAACCATGTAATATAAGGATGAAGAATGGCTTTTTCAGCCCATAAATTCAAAGTGTCCTACATCAACCTATTTTTTTTTAACTTTTGTCACCATGAAGAGTCATTGGACAATGAGCACAGATTAACACAAGCTGCTCGCTTTGAATATATTGTTGTGGCCCGCCAGCTGCCAGCAGAGCTGGCGGCAGACTTGGACGATGAGGAGGTTGGGGAGGAACTTGGGCCAGTTCTGGAGTCTGGGGAAGGCTCTGATGGATGCTCTGCAGATAGAGCCAGGGCCGTCTGACATTTCCCAGCCACCGGAGAGGCAGTTGCCTTTGGAGGCTGAGATGAGTGAGGAGGAAGAACAGCTGGGGCCTGTTCCAGATAGACATATGCGCAGAGCAGTTAGGAGAGGGGAACAGCGGAGGACAAGGAGTCGACTTGAGAAGCAAGGCATACGTGGACGTTGAATGGCCCCTCCCTGACTGGGGAGTAAATAGAAGGAAAGGGGAGTGGTTGTCATAGGAGACAACAGTTCGTATTTCTGAAGATTTTGCTCATTGTATTTCTGCATCAAAGATTTCTTGCTAGAACTTAATTTACAACTTTGCAGCTGGGAGCTCACGGCCTTGCAATTATCGCAAGGAACTGATAAGGTCTGTTACTGCAGTTAACTCTTGCAGGACTCTTGCCTGGACTTTTTGGTGGGTGAATGCAATTAATTAACAGGAGGTAAATAAAGAGGGGTTTTTCGTGACAAGGAATGTTTTTTGCTTCTGCTAAGGCTGGGTCAGAACATACATTTAACTTCAAACGACATTTCCTTTAGTGTCTGAAGACAAGAAGCCTCTGAGAAACACCCATTTCTTTACAAAAGACAGCCACTGCCCTGGTGGGCATCACTAGATGGCACTGTCTTAAAAAAAAGGAGAGGACAGGTTCCCTTCCAACAAGTTTCTGCAGAATTGTTATTTTTACAGCAATGGGCCTCCTTATTCCTTTGTTTGTCTCTGTTGTTTATTTTGGGAGCCTAATTAACATCAAGGAACGTGGTGGCTCAGTGGCTAAGACGCTGAGCTTGTCGATCGAAAGGTCAGCAGTTCAGCGGTTCGAATCCCTAGTGCCGCGTAATGGGGTGAGCTCCCGTTAATTGTCCCAGCTTCTGCCAACCTAGCAGTTCGAAAGCAGGTAAAAAACGCAAGTAGAAAAATAGGGACCACCTTTGGTGGGAAGGTAACAGCGCTCCATGTGCCTTTGGTGTTTAGTCATGCCGGCCACATGACCAGAGAGACGTCTTTGGACAGCGCTGGCTCTTTGGCTTTGAAATGGAAATGAGCACCGCCCCCTAGAGTCGGGAACGACTAGCACATATGTGCGAAGGGAACCTTTCTCTTTTTAATTAACATCAAGGCTTATTTGCTTTCATTCAGGCCTTCGTGAGGTTCTTCCACAGCCATTCCTGTACAATTCTCAAAGCATGTTCACAACAAACACACACACAGCCCAAACTCCTGGATCAAAGAGAATGGCAACTGGGAGACCCCTGTCCTAAAGCCCCCTGCCCCTTCCAACAGCCTGAGCCTCACCTTCCTCAGAAGGGACCGCAGAGCAAGGATGAAATGATGATCATCGCTGGACCGTTTCCACCAGCCCCTCGGAGGGAAATCACCAAGCACGGGCCGGTTCTCCTGCCCCGGAGTCTGTTGCTAGGCCGCCCATTCAAGCAATCCGTAACTGACTTTTTTTTTATAATCTTTTAATAACAGCGTTTGAAAGTCTTTGCATGCCGAATGCTGAACGAGAGATCCTCGTTGCCAAAGAAAACAAACTGCTTCATTATTGAAATATGCTTCATGGTAACGTTTTCCTTCTAAAACTCTCTTTTGGGGGAGGGGGGAGGGGCTAACTTCCTCATGCCATTTTCTAAAACTGTCCCCAATTGCCAGTTTCTTTGTATTTCAGTGCTGGTGGTTTCAAAATTAACTGGCTAATTGGCGGGGCTAGCAGTGTTTGCTCAAACGTTTGAATCCGATTATTGCCGTAAGTCAGGGGTGTCAAACTCGAGGCCCAGGGGCTGGATGCGGCCCGCAGGGTACTTAGATGTGGCCCAGACAGTCGCCCTGGAAACGGCAAAGGACTGGCCCGCAATGCTTCTACCAATGAAAATGGGCTCCCAAGCTCCGTTTTTGGTTGCCACAGGCTCCTCAACCATCTGCCAGTGAAAAATGGAGGGCCCTCCTGAGCTCCGTTTTCACTAGCAGACAGTTGCAGGAGCCTGTGGCAGCTGAAAACGGAGCTTGGGAGCCCATTTTCACTGGCAGATCGCTCAGGTGACCACAGGCACCCCTGACAGGAGTGACGTCGAGCTGGCCACACCCACCCTGGCCGCGCCCATCCCAGCCCCCCGAGGTCCTCGGGGCCCCACAACCCTGATGCGGCCCTCAAGGAAATCGAGTTTGACACCCCTGCCATAAGTGGAAGCATCTTTGCAGAAAGAGCGCGGCCTTACTCTACCGAAATGGGAACTCTTACTCTTCTCAAAGCGATTTCTGCAAGACTTTGCCTCATACGCGCATTAATTAAGACCCTTCCTGGCTCCATCTCAAGGAGCACCGATAGATGCCCTTTGGGCTGCCCTGGGAAGATCCCTCCCCTGCTGATTCCCTCAATCTATTCTTCGCATCCCCCGCCCCTGGGGAGCACACTCTAAGGGGAAGCTACTCAGATAAATTGCTGCCCTTGGTCTCCAAATTCTCCTGCCAGCCGTGGTGCCCATTGAGGGCCCATCTTGCAAGGCCTGGCCCAGAGGCTGCTGGACTTCAGGGCCTACCCCAATGAAAGAGCTCTCTGTGCCCCCTGCCCCACAAGGAAAGCTCAGGTAAGGCCGTCCTTTGACAGAGCCTTTCTGGGGCCTCGCTCCATTCAACAGATAAACCACCCTCTGCACCCCGAAGAGGACAGGGGCAACAAGCCAGTGAGTCAAGGGCTAAACGCTAAACCTTGCAAGCATGTCCATCGGAAAGGCAGGGAAAAAGAGGCCGTGGTTCCATTGTAACTTCTCTGTTGTGCCAAAAACGTGTCCTTTCTCTCCGTGCTCCGGCAGACATCTTGCGAGATCATAAGGTCAGGCGTGTCAGGAAAAGCAGTGTTGTGGCCCCTCACCACACTGGAGGACATCCTTGCCCACCTCGTTTAGAAGAGTGGCTATGCCAATGGAATGGAGCAACAAACCATAAATAAATACTTTCCTGGGAGAAGTTAGCCCAAAAAAATGAATGAAGCAGATTCGACAATGAAGCAGTTTGTTTTCTGCATTAACCAGTCCAGACACACTCACCACCTCCAAGCCCCCTGATTCCCCCCTGGACTTCCTGCCCCGTTATGTCTCCTGCTGGGCGGGGGAGAGCATCCCACTGAGGGATGTATTGCTGGCACAAGAGACAAGAGGATCTAAACCAAGGATCACCAAAAGGGGTGGAATTCTACCGGTTCGGGCGAACTGGTACCTCCGACGATCAGCTGGGAGCGAACCGGTTCGCCCCGACAATCAGATGTGCCCACCTTCCCGCCTGCGCTATTTTCCTAGCTTTATCTTCTCAGCAGATTCATGTGGTAGAGTGGACTCCCGCGCGAATCAGCTGTGTTACTCCTCTGAAGAAACCAGGAAGTGAAGATTTTTTCAAACCGCGCACATGTGCGTAGCTGCACAAATCGCACGATCACCAAACCGGTTGTTAAACCGGGAGGATCCCACCACTGGTTGCCAATCTTTCGGACCTCAGGGACCACTAAATACATAATTTTAAATCCCGCATACCACCAATATGAATTTTTTAAAAAGATAAATAGTATTTAGTGCAATATTAAAAAATGGAAATAAATTTTCTGTGGACCACCAGTTGGTGACCGCTGATCTAAACCACTTTCCCCACTTCAGGAGAGACAGAAAGTAGATTTCTGGGGCTGAACAGCTCCATAGACGGAAACCACCCTGAGAATCCACCCACCCCATCTGAAACAATCACGTCCCCCCCGCCATCAGAGTTCACTCACTGTGTGGCTGTTTCAGTGAGCAGGAGAGTCTCAACATCACTCTGGTCCAAAGCAGAGCTGAATTTCTTGCCGGTGCTTTTTCCCAGGGAGTTCTTCAATTTCTTCACCAGCTTCCTGGGGGTGTTGGTGAAGGTCAAAGGGTCTTCCCCACAGCAGCAACTGTACACCTCCACCTTCAGCTGGAAGTCTGGCCCAGCTCCCTCGCTAGACAGAAACGGGGGCAGGTTTCAGAAGGACGACCATAATTTTTTTTAAAAAGCTACTACTTCTGTTTTTTGTTTTTTGTTTTACCTTGGCTGCTGTTCCGTGGAAATGCTCCCAGCACAATTTAAAGTAACCCCATAAAATCCCACACATAAAATATGAAAAGCACAGAGCAGCGTGTGCAGGAAGGAATCAGCAGACTCAAGCAAAGTAACAGTCCCTAAATTTGCTAGAAAGAAATTTGAAATTTTGAAAGTTCTGAAATCTGCTCAGAAATTTGAGAAAATCTCTTTTCTCTTTGAAAAAGCCCCCCCCCACCCCCGGTGCACATTGCTACAGCCCAGTTTCGGTTTTTGAGGGCTAGAGACCCCTTGAAGGATTCCTCAGCCCCCAGTCCCCTCTATTCCCAATGACATTCTCAGCTGCTGTCGTTTTCAGGTTCAGGCGGAGATGCCTCACACGAAGCTTACGTGTTCCAAAATTTTAAAACAGTGGAATTCGTTCAAGACTTTTGGTGCCCTTACTGGTTCAGGAATACTCACAATGTTTTTTTTTTAAATTTTTATTAATAATACAAATTAAAAACATTGGACATGGCGTGACGTCTCCGGTTTAAACATTTTCATCAAATTTTACCTTGCAATTGATACAATTCCTTATCTCTATACAAGTTTTACACTATTTATCACATATCAAACATGTAGATTCTTTCATCTGTGAAGGTTACATCAATACCAAGTTCTTTCCTTTCTATCACAGAAAACTAACATAAAAACTTCTAAACATTCAACTCGTCAATACTCATTTATCCCAGCATTCGTCCTCCCATCCAGCCAATAATAAAATTTGTTCCAGGACTTCCGGTTTCCCTGTCTTCGGCGACGGCGGCGCCTTTTGAAGCTCCGCCAGCCCTGCCGCCCGTAGAGCCGCTCCGAGACGAAGAAGCGGCTCGAAAACTTCCAAATCCATAGGATTGAGGAAGAAGAGATCGCAGGGCACAGGTCGAGCCCCTGTAACCCCCCAGGGAAGTTTCTGGGGAGAGAACAGGCGTGGCTCCCTCCCAACCTGCTGAAACTCCGGGCGACGTGGGACAATTCTGCTTTTGCAGAACAAGCCGGCTGCAGGAAACTCAAAGCGAAAAGAACCAGCTTTAATAAACAGCGAAATTACCTGAATCCTGAAACTTGGAAACGCAAGTATTAGCGCTTTGTTGACTTTTTAAACTGAGAAAAATGCGAATGAGTGAAAGTGCTTTGAAAAAACATGGCGCTCAGCCTTAGAGTTAACGAGCCAGCGAGTGTGGATTGGTGAAGTTATCTTGTTTTGTTACAAAGTTTCCAAGTTGCTACAAAGTTGCCTTGTTTGTAATAAGAGAAACAAGTGGAAAATTTCTCCCTTTCTAATACTTGACTTTGCTTTACTTCAACCTTTATTTGATCAAATCTGGGGGACTTTTTTAGAAGTCTTTGTGCAGGAGGGAAAGGAAAAGGAACTTCCCTCTTTAGAAAAACTAGATCACGTGGCAGGATGGCTTCAAAGAAGCAGGAAGGGAAGGCAACAGGGGGGGATCCCCCACACACAAACATGAAACGCAGCTTCCCCCTGCTCAACAGCTACAGACTCAGAAAAAAGAATTTGATGTGGGAGATTTAAAAGAATTTATTTCTAGAACTTTGGATGACAAATTTCAAAAATCTCAACAGGAGATAGATGATAAACTTCAAAAATCACATCAGGAGTTTATGCAGGAAATTAATGAAGTTAAAGATATGGTGAAACAGAATCAAAACAAGGTGACCAAAAAAATATCAGAAGTGGCATCTGGCCTGGCAGAATTTATTGGGAAAGTTGATTTTAAAGTTGAAGAACTTAAATCAGAAGTTAATGTTAAGATGAAAGACAATGATTATAAAATTGCTGATGTTGACAATAAAATGCAAAGAGTTGAAAACGAGATTGTCATGATACAATTCAGGGCAATGGAGTTTGCTATACGGCTTCGAGGAATTCGACAGGAGGAAAGACAGGATTTGAGACAAGTTTGTTCTGAGGCCCTGGCTAAGATTTTACAAGTTAATCCAGATGTGGTTTTTCACAAAATAGACAAAATTTACAGAGTGAACTCCTGGGTGGCCAGACAAAGACAATTACCTAGAGATGTGGTCATATATTTTACAGATAGAGAAATAAGAAACGATATCCTGCAAAAATCCTTTTACACTTCTGTACAAGTGGGGGGCTCACGAATTGGAATTTATAAAGAATTGCCTCCTAAAATGCTGAAAGCTAGAAAAGAATTTGGCTTTCTTGTTAAGGAATTGCAAAATTTACAGATACCTTTCCGGTGGGACGCACCAGTTGGCATAATTTTCAGATACAAGGGAGAAAGATACCGTTTGAATACCGTGGAGAAGGCACAGCACTTCTACACTACTATTCTTAAGGAAAGAACACCATCTCCACGTACATCTACAGTTTTGGAGATTAAAGAGAGTGAAGAGAAGCAACCTCAACGAGAACTGCAAGAACAGTCTAAGCAGGAATTAGAGCAAGGTGCAGAAGGAGGTTTTCTGGATGAGCCCTTGCTGGAATCTTCTCCAATCTTGGACCCGGTTCGGATGATTGAAGTTAAGGATCAACGTATAACTCGAGCTCAATCTAAGTTACTTAAACAAAAGCAACAACAACAACAGGAAAGACAAGACAAGGAGGCAGTTAAGAGTACTGCACAAGAGACTGGAGCCATGGGAGGAGCGAGATCGAAGCTTTCGGATGACCTTCAATTATTTTGCTCTTTGCTCCAGAAAGAGGCTGATGATGTTTAAGTGTTTATCCTGGAATGTTAATGGGTTGAATTCAGCACAGAAAAGGAAGAAATTATTTACATATTTGAAACAATTTAATAATGATATAATTTGTTTACAAGAAACGCATATCACAACTCAAGATCAAAAATATTTGATAAACTCCAAACTAGGAACACATTTTATATCTTCAACTTCGCAAAAAAAAGAATGGTGTGGTTATTTATGTAAATAAAAAGTTAACAGCTAAAGTTATAGAAACAGATGAAGATGGTAGGTTTGTAGCAATTGAATTGTCTACAGCAAATGGCCAAATTCTTCTGATTGGGATTTATGCTCCCAATCAACATCAGGACTATTTCTATAAGATGTTACATACTAAAATATTGCAATGGGATTACAGATCTATTTTAATTATGGGAGACTGGAATGGAGTAATCGACTCTAAATTAGATAAAAAGAGTTTGGCAAAGTCTAGGATCAGATTACCACAGACCTTTTTTGACATGAAAGAAGATATGGAACTAAAAGATGTTTGGAGAATACATAATCCAAAAGAATTGGACTATACTTTTTTTTCTGACAGACACAGATCCTTCTCTAGGATTGACTTTATTTTGTTGACAGATGATTTACTTGTTAAGACAAAAAGAACAAAGATTTTTCCAAGAATTTTGACTGACCATAGCCCAGTATGGATAGAAATTGAGATGGACAAGGTTGAGAGACGTTCTTGGAGATTAAATGAGAATTTGTTTAGATATGAAAAAAATACAACAGAATTTAAAAAGCATTTGAAAGAATTTTTTGAAATAAATTTGAATAAAGGTACCCCAATTGAAATTGTGTGGGATGCAAGTAAAGCTTATATGAGAGGGGTACTTATCTACATGAACTCTAAACATAGACTGTTCCGACAAAAGAAAAGATCTGAACTGGAAATAGAAATAAAGAATAAAGAACAGTTACTTATTAAAAATCCAACAGATGAAAGAATACGTAGTGCTATAAAACTTTTGAAAGACCAATTTCAAATGCTTATGGCGGAACAAGTTGCAACAAACTTACAATATGCGAAGCATAACACATTTTGTAACGCTAATAAACCGGGCAGATGGTTGGCTTACACATTGAGGAAAAAACAAAGTATACGGACTATTGATAGTATTGATATTGGAGGGAAAGAAATCTTTCAACAAAAATTAATTAAAGAAGCTTTTGTGGACTATTATACTAAATTATATGCTAAAGAGGAGGTGCAGAATGGACTTATAGAAAAATATTTAAATGATAAAAGAGTTACAAAAATTACTGATCAACAAAAGGAAAGAATGAATTATCCTATAACAGAGGAGGAGATAATAGTAGCAATTAAACAGTTAAAAACAGCCAAAGCTCCTGGCACGGATGGCTTGACCGCAGTGTATTATAAAACTTTGCAAGCTGAAATGGTGGAACAACTTAGAGATTTATTTTGCAATATTCAGCAAGGGGGTAAAATACCCCCATCATGGACAACAGCTTACATATCTTTGATACCAAAAGAACAAATTGGTCCTAAAAAACCAGAGAACTATAGACCAATATCTCTTTTGAATACAGATTATAAAATCTTTGCGAAAGTACTAGCCAACAGGTTGATGCCAGTAATTCAAAAGGTGATTCATGATGATCAAGCGGGATTTATCGAGGGCAGATATATGAAGGACAATGTAAGGCAAGTAATAGATTTATTGGAATATCTTGAGAAGAATAAACAGATCCCTGCAGTGCTGGTCTTTTTGGATGCAGAGAAGGCCTTTGATAGAGTGGATTGGAATTTTCTATTAAAGACTTTGAAAAAGATGGACTTTGGGGATCAATTTATACAGACGATTTCGGCAATTTATCAAGAGCAAAAGGCACAGATCATTATTAATGGAAGTCTGAAACAGAGTTTAAAATTGAAAAAGGAACAAGACAGGGATGTCCGTTGTCCCCACTTTTATTTATTTTAACACTAGAAGTCTTGCTAAATACAATACGGGACTCTAATATCTTGAAAGGTATAAAGATTAGGCAAGAGGATTACAGAATAAAGGCATTTGCAGATGATCTGGTTGTTACCCTATCACAACCAATGGAATCAATAATCTTGATGAAGGACATTATACAAGACTATGGTAAAGTTTCAGGTTTTAGATTGAATCCAAAAAAGACTAAAATGATAGCTAAAAACATGACACAAGATCGTAAACATGAGCTTGAAAGGAGGGCAGGTTTTGAGACTGTACCTAAGGTAAAATATCTAGGAGTTCAGGTTGCAGAATCAAACATGAAATTGTTTCAAAATAACTATGAGGTGTTGTGGCGAGAGGTGCAGAAAGATATGGAGACTTGGAAAAAACTGCAGCTGTCTCTACTTGGAAGAATAGCAGCAGTTAAGATGAATATTTTGCCAAGATTTCTTTTTTTGTTTCAAATGATTCCGGTGCTTAAAAGTGATAAACAATTGAAAGTTTGGCAATCTGGAGTGAATAAGTTCGTCTGGAACGAGAAGAAGCCGAGAGTGAAATTGAAAATTATGCAAGATGTTCCAGAAAGAGGAGGTCTTAAACTTCCAAACCTACAGCTATATTATGATGCAGCAGCTTTAACTTTAACAAGTGATTGGTTTGGAAGTAAAAAGGCTGGAATATTGAATGCAGAAAGTTTTGATCTTGAATTTGGATGGCATGCTTACTTATTTTATGATGACAAAGTTGATAAAGTATTTAAAAGTCATATACTTAGGGACTCTTTGATGAGAGTTTGGAAGAAGCATCGACTCAAATGGGATTATAAAATACCACTATGGCTGGATCTTGGTCATACTTTGTGGAATACAAATATAATGTCACTCGGGGGGTTTTTATACAAAGAGGTTCTTTTTACAGATGCGGGCAGATGGCAGCTGAAGACACTGCAGACACTGTTGGACGAAGGGATTAATTTAACCTGGTTACAATATAATCAATTACAATTGAGATGGAAAGAGGACCAAAAAACTGGTATTATGTTGCATGAGGAAGAATTGGTTAGACATATAAGAGAGAAAGGTCCAATGCATATCAAAAGGCTTTATAATGTTTTGCTAGAAAGAGACTCAGAAACTGAATTAGTTAAAGACTGTATGATTAAGTGGGCACAAAATTTTGAAGAACCAGTGATGTTGGAAACATGGGAAAAAATTTGGGTTCAGAATGTTAAATTTACACAGTCGCAGAACTTGAGGGAAAATTTTTATAAAATGTTTTATAGATGGCATTTAGATCCCAAAAAGTTGTCATGTATGTACCCTAATGTTCAGCCAAAATGTTGGAGATGTGAATGTTTGGATGCTACGTATTATCATGTTTGGTGGACCTGTAGGAAAGTTAAGGCTTTTTGGATAAAAATTTGGTGGGTCATGCAGAATGTTTTGAAGAAAAAAATTCAATTTTCTCCACAACTGTTTTTATTGGGTATAGTTAAGGGTTTTACATTGGGTGAAACAAAATTGATATTGTATATGATAACAGCAGCAAGATTGTTGATAGGTAAATACTGGAAGAATGAAGCTTTGCCCACTATCGAGGAATGGACTTTGAAGATGGCCAGTTTTGCAGAGATGGTGAAGATTTCAGCATAAAAGATTGTTCACAAGAGACTTATGAATGGGAATGGAAAAGGTGGATAGAATATGTTCAGAACAAATATCAAACTAGAAAGTATCAAATAGCTTTTATTTGAAAATAATGTATTGGAAATATTTTAATGTAATGAGGTAAAGAGAAAAATTATACAGGGGAGGGAGGGGTTTAAGTTTATATATAAGTGTTATATTAAGGGTTTTTTATGAGTATGAGTATATTATAGAGAAGTCTGGGGGGAGGGGAGGGTTAGGGAGGGTTAGGGAGGTTGGGAAGTCTGGGGGGGGGAGGTGGGGGGGGGGAAAGGGGTGAAAATGTAATTGTAAAACTTTTGCAATAAAAAAAAAATAAAATAAAATAAAATTTGTTCCAGATTTTGTAATACTCTGTTTCGTTCTTATCTTTAAGTTCCAGAGTCAACCTGTCCCTTTCTGCACAAGTTAATATTTTAGCTAATACTTCTTCTTCTACGGGGGTCTCTTTATTTTTCCATTTTTGTGCAAAAGCCAATCTTGCCGCTGTTAGAATATGTAACATTAGATATATTGTACCAGGGGTGGGTTCTAAATTTTTTCACTACCGGTTCTGTGGGCGTGGCTTATTTTGTGGGCATGGCTTGATGGTCTTGTGACAATTCTTTAGGATTTAGCAGAGGTACTGGTCTACCAGGCTTTTAACTGCTTGCAGACCTGTACTGGTCTACCCATTTGTTTTTGTAGGCACTGGTCTACCCATTTATTTTTGCAGGCACTGGTCTACTTGTGTATTTTTGCAGGCCCTGGTCTACCCATTTATTTTTGCAGGCACCAGTCTACTCATTTGTTTTTGGAGGCACCAGTCTACCACCAAACTGCCTTTTACCACTGATCAGCTTTAGGGCGGTCCTTTGAAGCCCCACGGCAAAAGTTTAAACAGTTTTTCCTTATAGCCCATCAGCTGGGACTCAGGAGGCAGCAATAGATTGGGGGTGGGGCCAAATAAAAAGTAAGAATAACGCAAGGGGGTGGATGGGGGCAGAACTGGTTCGGTGACGTCATATCATCACCGCTACTGGCTCGGCAGAACTGGGCCAAACCGGGAGGAACCCACCACTGTATTGTATCCTTGTTGTAGTTGCCCTTTATGATACTCAGGAAAAATAATTCCGGTTTTGATTCTATATTTTGCATTAATATCTCTTCTAACCATTGTTTTATCTGATGCAAAAATTTTGTAGCTTTTGGGCATTCCCACCACATGTGATAAAAAGTCCCTGGCACTGCCTCACATTTCCAATACATCGATGAATATTTTTTGTTTATTTTTGCTAGTCTTGTGGGTGGGAGATGCCACCTATCTTGTATAAATTTCCTTTATACATAGTAGCTAGAGCAATTAGAGGAATACTCACAATATTGTTGCATTTTCTAAACAGATGTCCGTTGCTGCCTTATCCACAATAAGCAGGTCTGAATCATACACCTGAGCTCCCATTTTGAATAAGCAAAAAACCGAGTAACGTTCGGATCCTGCAAGGAAAAAAAAAAAGGCTTCATCATCATCATACTTTATTGCGGTCATAGACCAAAAAACCAAAACATCCAAGGCACATAGCTGGCACACGACCAGACTGAAGTGCAGTACGGCAACAAGATCAGTGGTGGAAACCACTCCGTCAAACTCACAGTTCATGTATTTTAAATTTTTAGCTCCAATCTATATGGACTATAGTCGATTAAAATTATACATAGGTAGAAAGTACTATATTGCAATTTGCATAAAATCCACACATCGGCACTTTATACAACCACCAGTTAACTCGACCACTGGTGAAAAAGGCTTCAAAATAATGTGTTGTGTCACACACTGTACAGTATGTAATTACCTTATTTTTCGGTGTATAAGACACACCTTTTTACCCCCAAAAAGGGGTGAAAATCTGGGTGCGTTTTATACGCCGAATGTAGCCCGCCCACCCACCGGCCCCCACCCTTCGGCCATTTTCGGCCAGTTCCAAGCGGCAGGGATCTGGGTCGGGGCACAGCCTGAGGAACAACCCTCCCTCTTTGGGACAGGGTGGGGGGGAATCTGCCCAGCAGCTTTGGGGAACAAGGCGGGTGCCACGATTTGCGGCTGGTCACCCCTCTGGCCGCGCTGACTTCACTCCCCAGCAATGTGAGGAGCCGCCGCCGCCGCTGCCTAACCCTGCCCAGAAGGGGATCGCGGGTCTGCCGCCCGAACCCGTGATCCCCTTCCCGATTCCAAACATGGGGTGTGTGCAGAGACAAAAAAAGTGTACCGTGTTTCAGGCGGCGGATCTGGCCAGGAGGAAAGAGAAGAGTCTGCTGAGAAGGAGGACGGGGGCGCGTGCCTCTGCAATGTGCAGAAAAACACTTTTAGGCATCAGCGCTACAATCTCCTCCCCGAATCCAAAGCACTTCCCAGTTCCCTGCTGCACATTGCAGGGGAACTGGCTGCCACCTGAAGCGCGACTCTTGAGGTTTGCATTTTGGAATCCGGGCAGCAATGGCTGGAAAGGAGGAACGTTTCCCTTTAGGGGCTCCCATTCAGCTCAGCTTGGCTCCTGGGCGCAGAGAGGGTTAGGCAACGGCGGCAGTGGCTCCTCACATTGCTGGGGAGTGAAGTCAGCGCGGCCAGAGGGGTGACCAGCCACAAATCGTGGCACCCACCTAGTTCCCCAAAACTGCTGGGCAGATTTCCACACACCCCCACTGTCCCGAAGAGGGGGGAGTTGTCCCTCAGACTGTGCTCTGTCCCTACCCCCAGAGCATGCTAGGGTCTCTTTGGGGGAAAGCGAGTAGTCCCTGCACCTCTCGCTTGCAGGAGGAAGAGGAGGGCGGCGGCGCCACCTTAAATGCTGGTAGGCAGAGGTAAAATACTTTTTTCCTTGTTTTCCTCCCCCAAAATTAAGGTGCGTCTTATACTCCGGTGCATCTTATATACCAAAAAATACGGTACTTATTTATAGGATTTACTGACTGCTTCAATCTTAGGGAAGTGAATGAAGCATAGTAATAAAATAAAAGTTTGCAAACAAGAAACAAGAGAACCAGTAACTGGTTTGATGTCCTCAATGTTTATACAACTTAGCAAATCCCTCACTTTACAAATGAGCTTTAAACAGATCAGAAATTCATCAGGGTTCCTGACCACACATTACGTCTGGAAGTTCAAACTCTTGAAATCAACTTTGTCACAAAATGATTATCGTATTTTTCGGAGTATAAGACGCAACTTTTCCCCCCAAAAAGAGGGTGAAAATCTGGGTGCGTTTTATACCCATCCTTCCATCGTCCGGCGCGTTCACACAGAGCAGGCCTCCTCAGGGAGCCGTCAGCCAGACAATGTCGGCTGGCAGCCCCCAGGGGGAGAGCGTTCTCTGTGGGAACGCCGACCCTCTGGAATGGGCTGCCCACTGGCCTCAGGACAGCCCCTGACCTCCTCTCCTTCTGCCGCGAATTGAAGACGTGGCTTTTTCACCAAATGGGCTGAATCCGTAGGGGTGATTTTTAATAATTTTAATTAAATTTTTAATTAATTTTAACTAATTTTAAATTGACTTGATGTTTATGTAATTTTTTGTCCCTTCTTGTAAGCCGCCCTGAGTCCTTCGGGAAAAGGGCGGCATATAAATTACATACATACATACATACATACATACATACATACATACATACATACATACATAAATACATAAATAAATAAATACTGCAAATATAGCCCTGCCCAGCTTCTCAAATGGAGGTTTCAGAGGCTGAAAAAAGCATCAGAAACGAAGCTTCAGAAAAGAAGCTCCCAAACAGAGCTTCAGAGGCTTTTTTTCTGAAGCTCTGTTTCGGAGGCTTTCAGAGGCAGGAAAAAAAGTTTTTTTCTGAAACAGAGTTTCAGAAGTTTCAGAGGCAGAAAAAAAAGCAACGCACAGAGCTCACAACCAAGGAACCTGTTGCTAAAATTCACCTCTGGGGACAGCTGATTGGGGGTATTCCGGGAGGCCGATCCACCTGCCAAACAGCTTATACTCCAAAAAATATGGCAATTAAAACACAGAGAGAGAAACTGTTACCAACATTATGAATACGGAACGAGGAATTGGAATATTTGGCTGTGTGAGCACCTCGGAACTTAGGCGAGCACCTAAGAGCCACGGTGGCCCAGTGGTTACAGTACAATACTGCAGGCTATTTCAGCTGACTGCCGGCTGCCTGCAATTTGGCAATTCGAATCTCACCCGGCTCAAGGTTGACTCAGCCTTCCATCCTTCCGAGGTGGGTAAAATGAGGACCCAGATTGTTGGAGGCAAGATGATCAATCTGTAAAACCGCTTAGAGAAGGCTTTAAAGCACTATAAAGCAGTATATAAGTCTAAGTGCTATTGCTATTGCTATAAATCCATCCACAGGGAGGGGAAGGTGGCAAAAACAGAGCAGGGCTAACCTCAGAGGCCTAGCCGGTATCTCTTCCAGCTACAGCACTAACAGCAGACAAATTTTCAGTTGTTTCACCTGCCAAATATATTTTCTGTCTCTGACAGTTCAGCACTTCCATGGCCAAACACATGGAAGGAGTCACTTCTGTTACTGCACGCTTTTCTGAAGAGCACATGTTCAAAAGGAAAAGGTGTCTCATCAGCCAATTTCAGCCAGCTACAATTCACAAGCTCAGCTATAAACTGACACTTACAGACCTCGCCTGTGAGAATAAATGCTGGATGATGTTTTGTACTGAATTAGCACCGATGCAAAGCTTCAGCTTGGCTAAAGAGGTTGCATAACCACCCAAAAAATAAACATACGTACTGTCTTTGCTGTTGAAATGATGGGAATTTTTCCACATCAACGGAATTCGCAGATCTAAAACAAAGAAGAAAAAAAAAAGTCCGTTGCACTTCTAACACAATCCAAAAATTCAGAATAGAGTCTATTTTCTACTTTTTCTAGAAATGTTCTATTCTCGACATTCAGTGCTAATTCAGTGTTAATAAATGCTGGCTGCGGAATTCTGGGAGTTGAAGTCCACAAATCTTCCACAAGTTGCCAAATTTGGAGATCTATACCTTACTACCATGAGGTGTGGTGGCACAGCGGTTAGAATGCAGTACTGCAGGTTACTTCTGCTGACTGGTGATTGCTAGCAGTCCGGCAGTTCAAACCTCACCAGCTCCAGGTTGACTCAGCCTCCCATCCTTCCGAGGTCAGTAAAATGAGGACCCAGATTGTTGGGGGCAAGATGCTGACTCTGTAAACCGCTTAGAGAGGGCTATAAAAGCACTGTGAAGCAGTATGTAAGTCTAAGTGCTATTGCAATCAGGTTTGGTGTGAAAGTAGCGTTTGGAAAGCAAGTCTTTTGGTTTTGATTTTTTTGCTTACTTATATTATACTGAAGTGATTCCCTCTCTATACTGAGACTGGAAGCAAATTTTTGCTTCCTTTCTACTCAAATCGGCACTGAAAAATGTAAAACTATACTTTTTACAGGAGAATCGCAAAATTTGCATAGGTGCAAAAACCTTTTAATGTTAAGGTAATGGAGAAATTTACCCTCCAGGCCAAGTCTCATCAGAGCCAAGGAGATGAAACTGGAGCCGGCATTTAAGTTGGAAGAGGCATCAGTGCGAGATACCAGCCCGATCAGCATAATTTACAGCTAGTCCTCGGAGTTACGAATGTAATGGAGCCTGCCTATTCCATTTGTAGCCCGAGGATTCATGGGAATGAATCTCATATCTTGAACGGGATCACTCCCTGCTTTCGCCCACGCATTTGCTAATCGAATGAGAGGCTCGTTAAGTGCACGAGGTATTTCGGGGCGGGGAAGACTTACTTCTCACCACCCAAAGCCGCCCCCGACCTCATTTTCCCTCCCTTGGGGTCCCCACAATTGCTTCCTCCCCCATCCTGCCACGCCTGGTGACTTACTTTGTGAAGATCTGTCTCCTCTCCAGCTTGTTTCTTTGCTTGCTTCCTTCTTTCTCATCCGCAAAGGGCTTGAAGAAGGCTTTGGTGATGAAAAGGAGGCATGGAAGGCTGCGTGTGGCCCTCCAGGCCTCCTTTCCTGCCTCCAGAGCCCTCTTCAAGCCGTCCAGCAATGAAAAATGCAGACTGAAAGTGCGTGCTTGAAAGGGGCTCTTGTTGTGGTTTGCCAGCAGCCTGCGGAGCTGGCAGCGGAGTCGGACAGCGATGAGGCTGAGGAAGAACATGGGCCAATCCTGGAGGCTGGGGAAGGCCCGGATGAGGGCTCTGCGTCGGAGGCAGAGATGGGGCCAGGGCCATTGGGGAGTGATGTGTGGACTCCGGAGCCTCCAGAGGCAGACAGCAGAGAGGCAGAGGAACAGGAGGAGCCTGTTCCTAGTGCACGCATGCGAAGAGCTGCCAGAAGGCAAGAGCAGCTAAAGCAAAAAGGGCGACTCGGGAGTAAGGCCAGGAGATGACTGGCCCCTCCCATAAGGCTTAAAAGACCAGCAACGGCTCTTGGGCTCTTTGTCGGAAAACAACGTTGATAGTCTTGCTGCACTTATCTCTTGTCGGCGTCTTCTGCTTTTGAACTTTTGCCAAGAGAAGCCTTTGGCAGTTTACCTAATTATACCAAGGTTGGTGATTAGACTGAAGAATTTGTGTTATAAAGAGTTTGTTTTAATTTAGTTTGGACTATGCTGAGAATGAGTTAATTCTCAATTGTTCTAATAAAGTCTGTTTGTTTTGGAACTCTTTGCGTCGATTACTACCTACTTGGGCCTGGGTCACAACAGCTCTGGAGGTGACAAAAGAGGCCTGGAGAGCTGCATGGACCTCCTTTTCATCACTGAAGCCTTCTTCAAGCCATTCACGCGTACTTCCGGTCCACATTTTTTTGCCGCCGAACCGCTTGATGGGGGGGGAATAGGTGGGGTGACTGTTGCAGAGCCTTTGAGGTCGTTCGTAAGAGCGAACAACTGCCGTGGTGCTGCAGCATTCATAATTTTGGGACCTGTCTGTAAATGCTAGGGGGCGCTTATCACGTAACTTCGACCATTCGCTAAGGGAACGCTTGTAACCCGGGGATTACCTGTATTATGTTCACCAGTTGCAGACAACAGAAAACAAACATACCTGAAATGCCAACCTTCCCTCTACAGGCTTCACGATCTTTAGCTGCAACATCTGAACCTCTAACAAAAGAAATCAAAAATACTAATTAGAAAGAAAAAAAAGTTCATCATTTTCTTTCCCTTCTCTTCCAAGGTAACCTCATCAGTAATCAAATAAATGGATACCACTAATAATTTAAAGCTAAACCTTTTAGAAATTTAAAACCACCGACATTTTTGCATCCATTAAAACACATTTGTCTCTTATGCAAGGAGTATAAATCCTTCCATTCGCCACTATCCTGTCAGAGCTGAAGAAGCTTCTTGGATGAGAAGAGAAACATCTTCAAAGAAAAACAAGAAAGTCCAGCTGTCTCCTGAAAAAGCACCTTTTGGACAACCATGACCTGGATGACTTGAGAAGCTCTACAGGCTAATAGAGGGAGAACTGCGAGAAAGACACTATCCAACCCCCCCAGATGAAGGGACTGTTGATGGTATGAGCTTTGGCCAGCAGATGGCGCCAACCCATCATTTGTAACAGGAAAAACGGGAAGAGACAGATTGCAAATATTGAGTAACCAAGTCACCTCTCGCTCATTGTTACCTTTATCTACATCTCTCTTTATTTGACTGTGGCTGACCCCCCATTGTGTCTTGATATGGTCATTTGAGAAACCTACAAAGTTACTTTGCCATGCAGCTCTGTCTGGTTAAATCAATTAATAATCTCCAGTCCATCCCTTCCAATTCTGCTCTCCTTGCAAAATCTCCCTTGCAATTTCTTTTGTTTTAAAAACACCTCTTAACAATTGCAACAAATTGCTACTTTGTTCTACCCTGCTATCTTGGCTAGAAAGTTTCCACTGACTCAGAGAGGAAGGGGAGATAAATAAAGCAGAAGGGGTCCCCAGGAGGGAGCCTAGGCCAAACAAGGGGAAGCAAAGAAAAGACCAAGGAGGGGGCGGGGAGGGGGGGAGGCAGGGCCTGGCAGACCATCTGCCGCAATCCAGCCTGGGACTGCAGAAAAACGTGTGTGTGTGTGTGTGTGTGTGTGTGTGTGTGTGTGTTGTCTGTGTGTGCTGACTGCGAGAGAAGAAACTTTCCAGGAGCATCTTTCCAAGGCTCTGTGTGTGTATGTGTGTGTGTGTGTGTGTGTGTGTGTGTGTGTGTTGTGTGTGTGCTGGCTGGGGGAGAAGAAACTTTCCAGGAGGATCTTTCCAAAGCTCTGTGTTGTGTGTGTGTGTGTGTTGTGTGTGTGTTGACTGGGAGAGAAGAAACTTTCCAGGAGCATCAAGGCATTCTCTGTGTGTGTGTGTGTGTGTGTGTTGTGTGTGTGTGTGTGTTGTGTGTGTGTTGTGTGTGTGTGTTGACTGGGAGAGAAGAAACTTTCCAGGAGCATCAAGGCATTCTGTGTGTGTGTGTGTGTGTGTGTGTTTGTGTGTGTGTGTGTGTTGTGTGTGTGTTGTGTGTGTGTGCTGACTGCGAGAGAAGAAACTTTCCAGGAGCATCTTTGCAAGGCTCTGTGTGTGTGTGTGTGTGTGTGTGTGTGTGTATTGTGTGTGTGTGTTGACTGGTAGGGCAGAAACTTTCCAGGACCATCAAGGAGCTGTTTGTTTGTGTGTGTGTGTGTGTGTGTGTGTGTGTGTGTGAGAGAGAGAGAGAGAGAGATTTCCAGCTCCACCGAGCCTCAGAAGCTGCCCCTGCTTGCCTCTTGAATCAGGGCATCTGCCCAAGAGCTCCGGCCCCGGAGTGGTGTGGAGGCTGGACCGGCTCCTCACGGGGCTCTTCCAGATTTGGGGTTTCAGGCCGCGTCTCCCCCCACCCCCCCCTCCACCCTCACGGGGGAAGAAGCTGCTTGAAGGGAAGCGCGGCCCGGGAGCTGCCCGCCACTGGCCCTTGTGGGTCTCTCACCGTCCCGCCGACTCCTCGCTCCGCCGTCGGAACTCCGCGCGGAGGCCCCGCAGGCGGCCGTTGCAGAGGGCCAGAGCCTTGGCGGCGCGCAGGGCTTGGTCCCGGCTGGTGCTGGCGGCCAGCAGTTTGCGGAGCCCGTCGCGCATCCGCGTCTCCATCTCGAGCTGCTCCTGGGGGGCCCCGAAAGCGGAGGGGGAAAGCGTGAGCGGAGCGGATCCCGACAACCCGCAGACACGCGTCTCGCGTCCCCCCTCCCCCCAAGAGGCCGGGCTCCGTCGCAACTCGAGCATCTGACCGCCGCAACTCGAGGAACCCCCGGAAACGTCCCTCGTGCGTCCCCCGGGAGGAGAAGGCCGAGGCCGGCCGCGGGTTTTCGGCAGCCGGTTCTCGGCAGCCCCGGCCACTCGCCTCCCGCTCCCCCCAGCGCCCCGCCGCTCACCTCCGCCATTGCCGCCTTCGCTTTTCCCGCCTCGGCCGCCTCGCCCCGCCCCGCTTGGCTGCAAAGCCGAAAGGGCCGGGCTGCCGGGCTGCGCTTCTCGCCCCCCAGCTCTGCGATCGCCCCGTGGCCTCCTTTCCCTCCCTCAGCCTTGGCTCGGCTTCTCCCGACCGCCCACCCACCCACCACGTCCGCCACCCTTGTGTCGGGGGCGGGGGGGGGTTTGTTTAAGTAGTAAAAAAATAAAAAAAAATTTACAATTAAATTATATATTTTCTTACAAACATTTTAACACGCCATTTTAGGTCAGTCCACACAAGCTACACTACATTTTAAAAATGTGAACTGTACATAATTTTATAATATATTTTTATTTTAATCTCATCATTAATTTTTTCGGAGAATCGAGTTCAATGATATTCGAGCTTTGTCTCATTCTAACTTATGAAAAAAAAAGACAAAATGTGATTCTCCTATCCTTATTCTCTGTACAGCTTTAGATTACGTACCATTTCATCATAAAGCTTTTGAATAAAAGAAATGTCCACTATTTTGTGAAAAAAATTAGTGAACATAATGTGAAAAAAGCGGACTGTCCGCTCAAATAGTGGATACCTGGCAAGCCTAAAAAAGTCAAACCTGGAATTTCTTCCCGCAGACGGAACGGACGGCCCCAGGAAAGGGGCAGCCGAAGAAGGGAGCGAAGGGAGGAAAGAATCCCAACAAAGGCGAATTTTGGATGAGCCTCGCTTGTGGTCCGTGTTAAGGATATATTTGTGAGAGAACCAGGAATGGTTACGAAGCAGAGCATAAGAGTTTTGCACACGGAAACGGTGCTGAGAGTAATTGTGAATAAACTGCATACAAACTGGTTTTTAAAGTAGTTTACTTATAGTGTTATGGAATGATGAGACCAAACAACATTCCTGGTCAGCCAGAGACAGTTTTATTGCGCAGTTTCAGAATCAGATTTGTATCTGCAATTCTGAAACCAAGAACAGCTCTGATACAACTGCTTTTATACATATCCAAGACAAAGGATTTAGTGAGCACAGCAGTTTTCCATATATGGTTAACATACATTTGTTACATGATAATTGATACTTTCTAAATTACTATTTTCTAGTTCATAAGATTATCTTAGCTAAACAACCTTCCTCAGTTCTGTGATTGCTGATGCGTAGATTCATGGCTGCTTTGGATAATAAGTTTTGTTTCCTATGGATGTCCTTGCATTCTTGACAACTAGGCCCCTCAGAAGATATATATTACCAAGAATGGAATTTAGCTGACTTAGTGTAATCTCTAAACAAGCACATTTCTTTCTTATAATAATGTGAATAAAGAGGGTCCTTCAGTGTTCATATAGCTGACCCTGTACTATTCCTACATCATTCACATTAATAGAGCAAAGTAAATTCATAGTCTTTTACCAATCCAAGTCTTAGCCATGCATAATCAATCCAAAGATACAAAACTTCTTAACGGTTCCTAGAACAATACATGAATCATTCAGGAACAATATAAAAATAGTAATAAATAAATAATAAATAAACCATGATCATATTGACGATGTAAAGAGATCAAAGATATCTGTTAGGATATGGTTTGAGCCTAACAAGTTGTCCAGGCAATATATGTGTTCTGTGACTTTAACATGAATATATATTGTGTGACTTTAAAGTTTTACTGCTGATTCATTGTAATGCTGAGTCATGCTGTAATTAGATAATCACTAGTTGTAAACCTATTTAAGAAAGGTACTGCAACTATTCAGTTGATGATAAGCTACCATTGTGCTATCATCGTTGGATGGATCTGCTACCATCGTGGTTTGTGAATCAGAGTGAGTTTGTTATTCTAACCAACTACTGTTTGTGTGGTAAGAAGATTTTTTTATCACTGGACTGATTTAACTGGCAAAGACTTGGATTTGTTTAAAGACTATGAGATTCTTTTTTCACTATAAAGTAAACTTTTGATAAACCAGTTTGCACATCTCTTATTCATTGCTCTCAGCAACGTTTCTCTGTGCTCTACACTCTGCTGGTTGGTAGAGGAAGGGTGAGGAAGGCCAGCCTCTGCTCGGCCCACCGAATAAGCCCATTCATTCACATTAACAGAGTTGGAAGGGACCTTGTAGGTCATCTAGTCCAACCCCCTGCTCAAGCAGAAGACCTTCTTATACCATTTAACAGATTAACAGAGTTGAAAGGGATCTTGTGGATCATCTAGTCCAACCCCTCAACCAAGGAGGAGACCCTACACCATGTCTGACAGATGACAGCCCAGTCTCCTCTTGAAAGGCTCCAGTGATGAAGCTCCCACAATGTCCAAAGGCAACTTCTGTTCCATTGGTTGATTGTTCTCACTGTCAGAAGAGTTCAAATCTCACCAGGCTCAAGGTTGACTCAGCCTTCCATCCTTTCTAAAGTAGGTGAAATGAGGACCCGGTTTGTGGGGGCAATAAGCTGACTTTGTATAAAGTATACAAAAGGATGAAGACTATTGCTTAACGCATTGTAAGCCGCCCTGAGTCTTCGGACAAGGGCGGCATATAAATCAAATAAAAAAATATTAATAATAATAATAATAATAATAATAATAATAATAATAACAATAATAATAATAATAATAATAATAATAATAATAATAATAATAATAATAATAATAATAATAATAATAATTTTATTTACATACCGCCCTCCTCCCGAAGGACTCGGGGCGGTGTACAGCCAATTAAAAACATAAATATACAATATCATTGTTAAAATTAATTAAAATCATTAGTTTTTTAATGAAACTATTTCATTAAATTTTAATTTAATTGAATTGAATTTTAAAACCAAAAGTTAAAACCCAATTTAAAATCATTCAATTAGACAGCCCCGCCTGTCGGAACAGTAGGGTCTTGAGGGCACAGGGAAAGACCCGGAGATCAGAGATGTTATGAATATCTGGGGGCAATTCATTCGCTCTCATAGAGAGGGGCTCCTCCGGGTGCCGTCAGCCAAACAATGTCGACTGGCGGCCCCCAGGGGGAGGGCTTTCTCTGTGGGGGCACCCACTATCTGGAACGAGCTCCCCCCAGAGATACGGAGGATCCCGGATCTGCGCACTTTCCGCCGTGCTCTTAAGACCTTCCTACTCCAGCAAGCCGGCCTGGCCTAATTTTCTCCCCTTTTTAAAAATTCTTTTAAATCGAAATTTTAATCTGTTTTAAATTATTGGGATTTTTAATTGTCTCGGGCTAAATTATTTAATCTGGTTTTAATTATGTTTCTAACTTTTGTATCTATGTATTTTAGTCTGTGCCTGTTCACCGCCCTGAGTCCTTCGGGAGTAGGGCGGTATATAAATTTAATAAAAACAAAAACAAATTCCAAAGGGTAGGAGCTCCGACAGAGAAGGCTCTCCTCCTGGGTGTCGCCAGCCGGCACAACTTATAACTAAATAAAAGAAAAAATAAATCCCTAAATCCCCAAATAAGTAATAACTAGCACACAATCCCACATACATACATGTATGTAACATTATATTACACCGGTATAAACATATTGCATGTTACACTGGGTCCATGACCTGCCCTAAAGATGCTTCCACTGGAGTTACTGCCCTGTCTGGGACCTTCTCTCTCTCTCTCTGGCAGTGGACCGGGCATTTTTAACAGATTAACAGATTAACAGAGTTGGAATCTGTAATCTAGTTCAACACCCCCTCACCCCCACTCAAGCAGGAGACCCTACACCATTTCTGACAAATGGCAGCCCAACCTTTTTTTGAAAGTCTCTTGCTCTTAGTTACCGGAATAATGTAAAAACACAATGCTGAAAGCCCCCTGAACATCTGCGTATAAGCCCCCTCCCCTCTCATTCCAAAGACAGTTCATCCGAATATCAACCTGTCCATGCCTGTTTGATGCAGCTTTTTCAGCATAGATTTACACCCCCACCTCCTTCTCTCCTACAAGGACTTCTTGTTTAACAGATTAACAGAGTTGGAAGGGACCTTATAGGTCATCTAGTCCAACCCCACCCTCACCCTGCTCAAGCAGGAGACCCTACATCATTCCTGAGACATGGCCGTCCAATCTTTTCTTGAAAGTCTCAAGTGATGAAGCCTCCAGAACTTCTGAGGGCAACTTCTGTTCCATGGGTGGATTCTTCTCACTGTCAGAAAATTTCTCCTTATTTCTAGGTTGAATCTCTCCTTTGACCAGTTTCCATCCTTTACTCCTTATCTGGCCTTCAGGTGCTTTGGAGAATTGCTTGATCACCTCTTTTCTGTGGCAGCCCCTCTAATATTGAAAGACTGCTATCATGTCTTCCCTGGTCCTTCTCTTCACTAGACTAGCCACGCCCAGTTCCTGCAACCGTTCTTCGTATGTTTTAGCCCCCAGTCCCCTAATCATCCTGGTTGCTCTTCTCTGCACTTTTTCCAGAGTCTCAACATCTTTTTTATAGTGTGGTGACCAAAACTGGATGCGGTACTCTTATGGTGTGGTCTTACTAGGGCTTTATAGAGTGGTATTAGTACCTCCCTTGATTTTGATTGTATCCCTCTCTTAATGCAATTTAGGATTGCATTGGCTTTTTTAGCTGCTGCTGCACACTGCTGGCTCATATTTAGCTGGTTGTCTATCAGAGTTGGAAGGGACCTTATAGGTCGGGGTCCCCAATCTTGGCAGCTTTAAGACTTGTGGACTTCAACTCCCAGAATTCTCCAGCCAGCATAACTGGCTGGAGAATTCTGGGAGTTGAAGTCCACAAGTCTTAAAACTGCCAAGTTTGAAGACCTCTGTTATAGGTCATCTAGTCCAACCTCACCCCTCAAGCAGGAGGCCATACATCATTTCTAACAAATGGCAGTCCGTTTCAAGAGAAAGCCAGCTCAGTTCCCTCTGAACAGGTGGTGGCATCTGCACCGAGGAACCAGGTTGAGCCTGGCTGCTGCTTTGGGGGTGGGAATGCTTGGTTCTTCTTCGGGTTGGTCCTTTGGGTCAGGGAAGGGGCCAGAGGTGGCAAGGCCACCTGCGGGCGGGGGGGATGTAGGTGTATGTATATGTGCAGGATTGTTCCTATCTTGGATGGTAAACCTCAGATAAGGAAGGTTACATGCATGGTAGTAGACGCCAGGAAATGGCATTAGAAAATAAGACCCTAAATCTGTAGATAAGAGGAACAGGAGAAGAGGAAGTAGAACATATGTTAGACTTTAACTATAGATAAACATTATAAGTGCTTAAGCAAGCAGTAGTAATGGTCAACCAAGGATCTTATGGCTTTAGTTGCTTGAAACGGCCTCCCACCGGCCGGTACGCTCTCACAGAGAGGGACTCCTCCAGGTGTCGTCGGCCAAACAATGTTTGGGGGAGAGCCTTCTCTATGGGGGCACCTACTATCTGGAACGAGCTCCCCCCAGAGATACGGAGGATCCCGGATCTACGCACCTTCCGCCGCGCTCTCAAGACCTTTTTATTTCAACAGGTGGGTCTGGCCTAACCTCTCCCATTCTCTTTTTAATGTAAATTTTAATTTGTTCTTAACCTGGGGTTTTAAATTTGTCTTGGGATAAATTGATTAAATTCAATTTTACTTCTGCTCTTAAATTTTTGAATTCTATGTGTTTTATCTTGTGCCTGTTCACTGCCCTGAGTCCTTCAGGAGTAGGGCGGTATATAAATAAAATAAAATGAAAATGAAATGAAATCCTTTGTGAACCAGTAAGATGCTGACAAGGTAACAAACTATATAATGTCACTCTGTAAAGCAATAAACACCACATATATCCTCAGCCTTTCTGTGTGTGGTCATTTGATTACAAGGGGGGGGGGGGGCTGACTGACTAGGTGGCTCAGTGGCTAAAACCCTGAGCTTGTCGATCAGAAAGGTCGGCAGTTGGGCGGTTCGAATCCCTAGTGCGTGAGCAAAGGGGTTGGACTAGATGACCTCCAAGGGTCCCTTCTTCCAACACTGTTACTGTTAGCATCCCGGGATCCCAGCAGCGGGGGGAGGGGGCTTTCCACCACCCTCCGGAGACCCCCGCGGGCCAGGGGAAGAAAGGACAGCACTCCCCCTTCACAGCCCGCTTGGCTTCGGGAGCAAAAGGCAATCCCATCCCGGCCCCGCGGGAGGCTCGGAGCTGCGGGCAGCGGCGGAGGAGAGGCTGGGGTGGGGGGGGGGGGTGTGAACGCGGTGATTTACGACTCTGCTGAAAACGGCTTTTCCCCGCAGCCTCGGATGAGCGGCGCAGGAGGCGCGGCTGGAGCGCGGTGGCGCCCGGAGGGAGCGGGGCACGGGCAGCCGCGCCGGGACTGCAGAAGCCGCAGCTCCGGAGGTGAGTGAGACGTGCGGGGGGTAGAAGGAGCGACGGGACCGGCCTGGAGGAGGCGAAGGCGGCACTGACCGACCGCAGCGGGCAACTTACTTGCCCCGCAGGCAGCAATGGTGTGTGTGTGGGGGGGGGGCAGTGCGGCTAGTGGAAGAGCCGCTTCCCACCCCGGGATCCCGCCGGCCTTGAGATGACGTCATCCGAGGGAGGAGGGGGGGTCGCCTCGAGGGCAGCGTGGGGGGGAAACACCCCTCGGTTCGCGGGCTCAATGTGGCCCCTGCCGGGAAGCGAGGGGTGGGCGGCCTTCTCAAGACCCCGGATTTGGGGGGGAGGGGAAAAAACCCCCCACCCCCAAAAGGCCGGCCTTCTTCTGCATCGACAGCCCTCTTGCAGCCTGGGGTGGGGATGGGGTGGGGGGGTCCCGACGGGGCCGCTGTCACTCAAGCCGGGGCAGGAGGGCATCACCGTCGCCTCCCCGAGGCTGCTTTGGCCGGATATTTTCCGCAATCCCGGCCCTCCGCCTCCCTCAGGCCTAAAGATTTATAATTTATGAAGATTAGATTTCTAATATAATATAAAATATTATAAAACGTTCTTCCCCCCCCCCCACAACGCCCCCCCCCTAAAATAGCGAGGGGGACCCCCGGGCGCCTCAGGAGGGGATCCCCGCAGCTCCCTCCAACCGAGGGGGAGATGCTTCCTCCGGGGAAGGAGGCGCCGGGCTCCAGAGGGGCTTCTGCCTTTGGAAAGCCCCTTTTCCTCTCCCATATGTGTATGTTCCACCCCCCATCATCCCCAGCCCAGGGCTTGCTACACAAGGCCCCTCCCTGCCCAACAGGAGCAGCCCCCAGGGGCTGAAAATCCAGAGCCACCCAGTCCCAGAGCAGCCCCTCCCTCTGTCCCTCCCCCAATTTTGGGTCCTGGCACCCAGTTCTCTGAAAAGCTCACCTGTGTGAGAGGGAAGGAGAGGCCGGCCTACCTGCTCTTTTGCCCTGATCCAGGTAAGTCGTGTGAATGGGCCTCCTTTGAGAGTTCGCAAGTGGGGCAAAAATTCAGCGTCTTTGTGGGGGCTGAGAGGCAGCCGCCTCCAATCCGGTGCCCTCCGGAAGTGCTGGAATCTCTTGCCCGCTCTCTGCAGTCAGCAAAGCTGTGCCGTTGGCCTGGTGATGGGTTCTGTAGTCCGGAAAGTGACTGGCCGAGAAGACCCTCGCTGACCTCTCCTTTCTTCCTCCCCCTGACTGCTAGGATTGGGAAAGGAATGCAACAGAAGGCCTTTGAGGACACCAAATCCACGTGGCAGGAATCGCTGGACCATGCCGGTGCCCGCATGCCATTTCGCTGCCCCCGGTGTGGGGACCACGCCCGGTTTAGGAGCCTGTCCTCCCTGAGGGCCCACCTGGAGTACAGCCACGCTTTCGAAAGTGGCCTCTTCTCTCCTCTCAAGGGAGGCCAGGGTTCCTCCTCCCACCCCCAGACCCAGGGCACCTTCCGGGATGGGGGCAGCGGCGTCCTGAAGCCACGGCTCTCCTACCTGAACTTCTGCGAGCCAGAAGACCCTCTGCCCAGGAGGCCCCTGGCAGGAGAGGCAGAATGGCCAGCCGACTTGGGGTCCGGCCACGCCTCGGCCGAGCTGGGCTGGGACCCCACCTGGAAGGCCATGGACTCCAGCGCTTCCTTCGAGGCCCACGTGCGGGAAAAGTTCAACCACATGGTGGAAGCCGTCGACAAGACCATCGAGAGACGGATCGACAACCTCTCACGGGAGCTGTCCCGAAAGACGGCTGAGCTCTTAGAAGTCCGGGCGGCCTTTGTGCAGCTCTCGCAGAAGAAACAGGAGGTGCAGCGGCGCGAGAGGGCCCTGAACCGGCAGGTGGACGTGGCGGTGGAGATGATTGCGGTGCTGCAGCAGCGGCTCTCCGAGTCGGAGGAGGAGCTGCACCGTAAAGAGGAGTAAGTCAGAAGATGAGAAGGAACCCGGGTCCGAGAGGGCAGTAGCAGGAGTGAAATGCTACTGGTTTGCTCCGGTTTGGGCAAACCAGTAGTGATAAAAACTACCAGTTCGGGCGAACTGGTAATTAAAAAAAAGCTACTAGTTCATTTGAAACGGTATTTCCAACTATCAGCTGTGCCGCGGGGTTTAGCTTCGCTAGAAAGCAGGAAATCCTGCTTTCTAGCGAAGCTAAATCCCGCGGCACAGCTGTTCCCCCCCCTTGCTGTTCTACTTACCTAGTAAAGTCTTCTTTTTCCGCATGAAGTGTGCATTTGTGCATCGGCGCGCAGCATGCTTTTGGAGCACACCGTGCATGCACAGGCAGCGAACCGGTGGCGATCCGAGGAGGATTTCACCACTGGGCAGTGGCCTTCCTTTACCCCCGCCCCCCATGGCTTGACCCTGCTGCTGAAGAGGGGTGATGGGGGAGAGGACCAGGTGCGGGAAGGTCTCTCCGGCCATGTGCTAGCTCTGGCCCTTCCACTGACCGAAAGGCCTTAGATGTCCCAGCTGAAGGTCCAGCTGATGGGCCAGGTTAGGCCTGTAGCCTGTTCTCAGAATCCTCAGCCGATTTCTCAAGGGCGCAATTGCACAGATCCCTGTTTTCATTTGCTTAGTTACCTGCTTTGCGTCAAGTCTCACCTTCGGGCCCTGTCCTTGGCAACAGATTCCTTGGGGGGGGGGAATCCAGCTATCTCTTCTCATCAAGGCTTATGTGCAGCTAGGAGGCCTTGCAGGCGGATCCCCTGAGTGAAATGCAGCCATGTTTGATCTGATTTAAAAATAACATAAGGTCGAAATTGGGATGGCAAGGAAGCCAGAAAGGAGGGCCTTTGAAGGACTTTATCTGGCTCAGCCATGAGTGCGGGGTGTCACCCACTTCTTCCATTACTGGAAGGGCTTGGAAGCGCCTGGGCTGAGGGGGGTCTTTGGGGAGGGGCTCAGTCATTGAGATGTGGCGTCTGCAGCCAATCAAACACTCTGTGTGCTTTGCATGCCCCCCCACGCCAATCAAAAAAGGAGGAGAAAGCAAAGGCAAAGTATGACCAAGTTTTAGGCTCTTGCAGAAGGGAGAGGGGTGGGGCGCAAACCTCCCCTCCGGTGGGAGAATATTCCAGAGCAGGGGTCTCCAACCTTGGCCACTTTAAGCCTGGAGGACTTCAACTCCCAGAATTCCCAGCTTTGCTGGGGAATTCTGGGAGTTGAAGTCCTCCAGGCTTATTTTTTTTTTTGAATTTTTTTTTTATTTTTAAACAAAACTTAAAACATAAAACAATTATTCAATCCATTACAATTACAGAAGGTGTATTGATCGGTTACAAATCTTTTGTGCTTAATCCTCTATCCAACATTATCTTATTTAACAGTTTATTACATTATTATTCTCATTTACCAATTATTTGACAACAGCTTATCCTCCCTAAGGGAAATAAACCTCTCTTTATATGTTTTATTATTTTATCCATTTCATGTTTCATATTTCATTTCCATGCTTTCTTATCTAACCATTGATAAAATAAATCCCATATCAAATAATATTGTTTGTCTTCTTGTTCCCTAATTTCAAATGTCAATTTACTCATTTCAGCACACTCCAAAATTTTCTTAATAGCATCGTCATCCATAGGAATCTTCTCTCCTTTCCAGTTTTTAGCAAATACAATTTTAGCTGCCATTAAAACATTCACAATTAAGTATCTCAATTCTTTATTGTATGTTTCTTGTAAGATCCCTAATAAAAATATCTCTGGTTTAAAAGTCCTCCAGGCTTAAAATGGCCAAGATTAGAGAGCTGGGGAATTCTGGGAATTGAAGTCCTCCAGGCTTAAAGTGGCCAAGGTTGGAGACCCCTGCTCTCTTCCTTAAAGGTGAGAAAGGGCATGAGAGGCCTCCGATTTTCTTTCTGCAGACGGCCGGCTTCCGTTTCCCATACAGTTCCTCCCTCCAGATTTACACGAAGTTTAAAAAATGCCCTGCAGTGAGGCCACCCCACTCTTTCCCCAGGGATCTGCCGGGGTCCGAAGCTGGCCACAAGAGCCTTGCTATCTGGATGGACCTTGGAAATGCAGCTTCTTATGCTTTCTGTGTGGAGCTGGGTCCACCATCCCTGCATTTCCCTCTGCTCTGCTGGCGTAGGGGCCCCACCCAACAGCATGGGAGGAAACCCCCAAAGGAGCACCCCTTCGCTTCATGGCTTCACTCGAAGGTCTGTTGCAGCCTCCCAGGGAGAGAAGCCCAGGAGCTGGGTGCAGATTCTGAGTACAAGGAGCTTTCCTGGAGTGCCAGGTGCTGCCTCTTGTTCTGACCTAGGCTTCCCAAGAGCATGAAGCAGACTCCTTGTCCCGACAAAAAACCCTTTTTATTAAGTTACTGTGAATTCCCCTCATTCACATCCAGCAAAGTCTTTCAAGGGAGAATTTATAGTCACAGATCTTATCTGGCTTGGAGAGCTGCCAGGCAGATATCTTCAAAACTTGGCAAGGAGTCTTGGAGAGTCACGAACCAATTAAGCAAATTAATTGTCTCCTGCAAACTCCACTCCCCTTTCGCTCCTCTTTTATTCCCTCTGGGAGGGGCCATTCATCATCCCCCTGTGGCCTTACTCCCAAGTCGACCCTTGTTCTTTAGCTGTTCCCTTCGTCTGGCAACTCTGCGCATGTGCACATCGGGAACAGGCTCCAGCTGTTCCTCAGCCCCACTTATCTCTGACTCTGAAGGCAGCTGATAACTGACGGCCCTGGCCCCCTCTCTGCCTCCGACACAGAGCACTCATCAGAGCCTTCCCCAGACTCCAGGACTGGCCCATGTCCCTCCCCAACCTCCTCACTCTCTGAGTCTGCCACCAGCTCTGTTGGCCGCTGGCGGGCCACAACATCTCTCCCTTCATGTCTCCTTTCCTCTCTCCAGGGAGAAGGATCTCAATGAGGAGCAAAATTTGTTTGTTACCAGATGTCATGATTGCCCCAGCCTGTCCCGCTGTCAATCCTGGGTCCTGGAGTGCTTGGCATCCGGGATGGGCTGTGGGTGGGCCAGGAGGGCACTGCTGCTGCTGCCGCTCAGCAGGTGCCACCACTCTGTGACACACACACCCCTCGGTCCCAGCACAGCTGCCTTGTTGCCCTTGCAGGGAGGTTGTGACCTTTAATCACTTCCTGGAGGAAGCGGCTGAGAAAGAGGTCCGTGGGAAAGCCCGGCTGGAGCGTTTCATCGAGAACCTGCTGCAGCGGGTCGACCAGGCGGAGAAGCAGCTGGAGAAGTACCAGCATCAGCATCTGCTGGGCAGCTCCGGAGACCTCAGCCAACATCTGGTAAGTGGACACTCCAAAGGGAAGAGAAGCCTGCCTGTCCCCAAATCCAGCCCTTAGAAGAGTCCTCCATGGCTTCACCACCTACCTGGCAGAGAGGCCATCTAGGACCCTCCTTGCCTCTCAGGGCTCCCTTTGAAGGTCCCCGGAGGGAGTATGGCTGCCTCTGGCGGCCTCATCTAACTCAATGCAGTTGGTGGCCAGAGAGAAGTTTGGCCTCTGTGATGTGGCTGGACCCACATTTAAAGAGATGGAAATGCCCACCTATTGTTCTGACCTAGGCTCCCTTAACATTCATTCACTCCCTGACATTCATTCACAGTCAGCAAGGTTTGTCCAAACAGTTTTTTAAAGGAATATTTATCAACACAGACCTTATCTTGCTTGGCAAGCTGCCATGTAACTTGTTTCCAACTGCAGTACAAGGCAAAACTTGGCACAGAGTATCTCAGAGTCACGGAATGAACGAATTGTTTCCTGCAAAAGGTTTTACTCCCGAGTCGACCCTGCTTTCCGAGTTGTATTTGTCTTCTGGCAGATCTGCGCATGCGCACACTGAGAACAGGCTCCAGCTGTTCCTCTGCCTCGCTGCTATCTACCTCCTCTGCCTCCGATGCAGAGCCCTCATCCGAGCTTACCCCAGCCCCCAGGACTGGCCCACGTTCCTCCCCAACCTCCTCACTGCCCGACTCTGCTGTCAGCTCTGCTGACTGCCGGCAGGCTATATTTCTGGAGGAAAAGGTTTTCCACTGGCAGCACTTTGGATACAGGCAAACTCTGTGCAGTTAGAGGGTAGGTGTGTGGGTGGGTATGTACCTGCAGGAAGTGATCATCCTTATCCTAGTTTCCTTCAAGATTTTAGGGGGGGAAAACCTCCTTCAAAGCGGCTGAAGCCTTTTCAAGCAAACTAAATCGCCCTGCTTGTGGGTTCAGGTTCCTGCTGCAAATGGGCCAGGCCCTGCTAATGTCAGCCCTGCCTCAAACGTGGGCTTCTAGGTAAAAACGATCCCTTGGTTGATAAAGGCATTGTGTACTAGAAGTCAAGTGAATTGCAGTAGTGTGAAGCCAGAAACTGAGATTTTGGGCCAGACTTTTGCCACTTAATTTTCCTCTCTGGGTCCCTTCCCTTCCCTTCCCTTCCCTTCCCTTCCCTTTTTCCCTTCCCTTCCCTTTTGCCCTTCCCTTCCCTTCCCTTCCCTTTTTCCCTTCCCTTTTTCCCTTCCCTTCCCTTCCTTTTTCCCTTCCCTTCCCTTCCCTTTTTCCCTTCCCTTCCCTCCCTTCCCTTCCCTTCCCTTCCCTTTTTTCCCTTCCTTCCCTTCCCTTCCCTTTTTCCCTTCCCTTTTCCCTTCCCTCCCCTCCCTTTTTCCTTCCCTTCCCTTCCCTTTTTCCCTCCCTCCCTTCCCTTCCCTTTTCCCTTCCGTTTTCCCTTCCCTTCCCTTCCTTTTCCCTTCCCTTTTTCCCTTCCCTTCCCTTCCCTTCCCTTTCCCTTCCCTCCCTTCCCTTCCTTTTTCCCTCCCTTTTTCCCTTCCCTTCCCTTCCCTTTTCCTTCCCTTTTTCCTTCCCTTCCCTTCCCTTCCCTTCCCTTCCCTTTCCCTTCCCTTTTTCCCTTCCCCTTCCCTTCCCTTCCCTCCCTTTTCCCTTCCCTTTTTCCCTTCCCTTCCCTTCCCTTCCCTTTCCCTTCCCTTTTTCCCTTCCTTCCTTCCCTCCTTCCCTTTCCTTCCCTTTTTCCCTTCCCTTTTTCCCTTCCCTCCCTTCCCTTCCCTTCCCTTTCCCTCCCTTTTTCCCTTCCCTTTTTTGGGGGGGGGTCTTTTCGTTGTCCAGTCAAGTCTAAAAGATGTTTTGGAAGCAATACGTGTTGGAATTCTTCTCCCAGGAAAACGACCTTGGTCAGTTCTCACAGAGAAGTCTTCTCACAGTTTCACTTTTCCCCCAGGCCCTCGCCCTCCCTTCCAGCTTCCCCCCTGGGTTCATGGCAGACTGGCAGTGCGGTGGCATTTCCGACAGCTTAATTTGTTCAGGCAGTGCAGAAATCAGCCATGAAAAGTAGGAAGGTGATGAAGGTCCCAGAGCCATTGCGGGAAATAAGGAAGGAAATCTCTTCCCGAAATAGAATTTATGAGGATGGCAGCAGGCAAAGGGCCCGGATAGTCACAGCACCCTACCCTCTGCCTCTCCAGAAGCCACAGGAGCTCCGGACATGGAAAACTCCTGAAACTCACCAGCTTGCAACCAGGCCAGGCTGGAGAATACTCCAGAAGGGGATTGTAGAGTCATGAACAGACGTTGTTGGCTCAGGTGGTGGTCCATTTCGGCAAATTTCAGTCAAAGTATTCTTGGCTGATTAATATCTACCATGCTGTGTCATCTGGAAATGAACCCCATTGATCTTGGCAGAATTTACATCTGTGTGTAAGAACGCAGGATCGCAATAATCAATAAACAATGATTCGTTTAGTATTGGTTCAGGTCGGTCTAATAAGTTCTTCCTTTTTTTAGTTTACAGATCTGTCATCTTTCAAGAAAGCCAGATGCCTGTATGTATGACCTCCCCCCCCCCCTTTCATGTGGGTGGGTGTCTGAGCTTGGGCTGCTGAAACTACATTTTCTGTTTCTGGGTTCCCTTTGCCAGATCAGACACTCATATTCATTCTCTCTCTCCCCCCCCCACACCCTATCTCTCCCTCTCTTTCTCTCTCCCTCTTTTCCTCTCTCTTTCATCTTCCCTCTCTCCCTTCCTCTCTGCCTCTCTCTCTTCCTGACCTTCTTTCTCCCTCCCTCCCTCTCCCCTTCTCTCTCTCTTTCTCCCTCTCCCTTTCTCTCTCGTCTCTTGCCTTCCTTTTCTCTCCCTCCCTCTTTTTCTCTCTTGTTCTCTCCCTCACTCTCTCTGTCTCTCTCTTCCTCTCTCCCCCCCCCCCTCTTCTTCTCTCTCCCTCTCCTTTTCTCTCTCCTTCTTTTCCTCTCTCTTTCGCCTTCCCCCTCTCTCTCCCTTCGTCTCTGCCTCTCTCTTCCTCCCCTTCTTTCTCCCTCCCTCCCTCTCCCCTTCTCTCTCTCTTTCTCCCTCTCCCTTTCTCTCTCGTCTCTTGCCTTCCTTTTCTCTCCCTCCCTCTTTTTCTCTCTTGTTCTCTCCCTCACTCTCTCTGTCTCTCTCTCTCTCTCTCTCCCCCTCCCCCTCCTCTTTCTCTCTCCCTCTCCTTTTCTCTCTCCTTCTTTTCCTCTCTCTTTCGCCTTCCCCCTCTCTCTCCCTTCGTCTCTGCCTCTTCTTCCTCCCCTTCTTTCTCCCTCCCTCCCTCTCCCCTTCTCTCTCTTTCTCCCTCTCCTTTTCTCTTTCTCCCTCTCTTCCTCTCTCTCTTTTCCTGTTTCTCCATCCCTCTTTCTCTCTCTCTCGTTCTCTCTCCCTCACACTCTCTCCATCTCTCTCCCTCTCTCCCCCTCCTTTCTTTTTCTCTCTCCCTCTCTTAATCTCCCTCTCTTCCTCCCACTTCCTCCCTCTTTCTCTCTTTCTCTCTCTCTCCTTTTTTCTCTCTCCCTCCCTCCCTCTCTTCCTCCCTCTCTGCTCCCCTCCGTTTCTCCTTCCCATTTTCAGCTGGGGGTACCCACACAGTTCTGGTAGCCCCCCTGACCCCAAACCTCATTCGCTTCAGAAAGGGCGGCTCTTCCTGAAGAAAGTCAAGGACGACAGACTCGGAGGCGGCCCTCACCCCGTCAAGTGGTTGTATGAACCGGCGGAAGGCTGCCGGGACATTGGGAGGCCCCAGAAGAAGGCGGAGGCAGCCAACAACATTGCCCGAAAGGTGAACGCAAAATCAAAAATCGGGAAAAAGAGCAAACCGGTTTACTGAGGCGCCCATATATCCCTGTGGTACACAGACACATCTACACACACGTGTAGGTGTGTCTGTGGGGCTAGAGAGATCGATATATCTATATTCTAACATAGTTCGCTTTTGAACCAGAAGCTCTTGGCTGGAGATCCCCAGATGGCCCCTCTGGGGCTCTGCTACGGTTGGCCTGGAGGGCCCATGGCAATTCCAGGGTGCAGCGTCTGCCCATCGAGGAGGGAAATAATTAGGGGGACTGGCTTCCCGGAAGCTGCACGTAGCAAACCACCATCATCATCATCTCTTTCCCTACTCATTTGGGCAAGGACTTGATATATTTAAGAGATAAATCGAGATTGCATATGTAAATGGCCTCATTTCCATGTGACTTTGAACGAGAGGTGCTGCTTTATTTATTCTCAACAGCTGATTTCAGCTGAAGCTGAAACAAACTGGGAGCCTTTCGATTCGTTTCCAAGCTTGTTCCTGCGGTTTACCCGGAATATCACAGAGAGATACTTTGGGCAAACCATTTCAACGTAAACCCTTTTCCTGCCATCAGTCTGGAGGAATCCATTCTCCCTGGCACCTTGAAAATCCACTTTTTATTATTGTGAGGGGTGAGGCTGGCAAGGGGTAGAAATGTTGCAATCCCCCCTCCCTTTCCCAGCTCCATCGCTTCACTATGAGAAGTGTGTGTGAGACACAGGTCATCACACCTTTACGGGCTGCATGTTGTTGAGATGCGCCCCTGTCGCTCCTTGCAATGCGCAAGGGAAGCGCATAATATACTGTGTATGGAGGATACCCGAAATCTCTACCCCCCATCCCCCCTAGTGATCAAAGATTTGGAAGATCTTGCTGTCCTCTCATGGGGCATCCACATTCCCACCCAAGTGAGTTGGCTGTTCTTGCATGGGGAGGCTCTGAGGAACCATGGCTAAACTCTCCCAAGACTTCGGCCATTTAACAACATGCAATTGTCGGTTGATTGGGGGAATTGTTATTGTTATAATGCCAATATAATATACTGTTATAACGCCATTGCTCAGAGGGCCTCCTGCCAATGCGAAGGGCAAGCAGAAGCATCTAGCTCTTCCACCTGCACAGCTCTGGAGGCAGGAGGGGCCTTGCTGTGCCTGATGGATCATAGACAAATCTTGGCCGAGGGCAGTGGTGGACACAGGGAGTTGGCCGCAGAAGCTAAACCAACAGCTGCCTATCCCTGGTCTTTTGGCCAGCGGAGCAAGGAAGCCAGAGGTGGTATTCACTTACCTTCGCTACCAGCTTGCAAGTGTGGCATGAGCAGAGAGTCAAAAACGGGATGATGTCCGGGCGGGTAAGCGGAGCCTCCTGCAGCTGCCACTACCAGTTCGTGCGAACCGGATAGAACCAGCTAAATACCACCACTGAAGGAAGCCTTCAGCAAAAAGTTCCCTCTGCTTCGGATTGGGAGACAAGGCCAAGGACAGAAGCCACTTCCCCTCGTTGGTCTCCCCAGGAGCTTCTGACTTTGCCAAAGAAAGAAGGGGGGAAAAAACTGGGGTGAGATTTCACTGACGAAGCCTCTGGAGTTCCTTTCCCTTCACCCATTGTGTCTTCTCCATTGCTCTGGGTGGCCGTCCTTCGTCTTCATGCCAAATTTACAGATATTTTAACCTCCTCTCCCGTACGAAAAATATATTCCCCCGAATAACCCAACACTCCTTTTTAAATGCTTCTGATAAAAGATGTACAATGTCTTTATGTGACACAGTGGTTCTGCGGTAAGCGTATTAAGCCTTGTGGATTGTTTTTCCTTACAAGATTTAAATTTACTTAGGGGAGAGAAAAAAAAAAAAACATTGGTAGGAATGTGGCAATAAAAAAACAGGGTTTGCAATATATTTAAACCGAGGTGGAAAAACAAAGCATTTGTAACTGTAGGGATCGATCGATCTGTTAAAACGTTGCTTCGTTTTATAATGTCAAGGGAATTTTTTTTTTTGGCACATGTCCAGCTTCCTGCTTCAACTGATAGTTGGAGGACCCCAAATATCCCAGCTGTAGCTGGGCTCACACCTCTGACCTGCATAGATCTAGATAACCACTAGGTGGGGACATTGTGTTGGAATTTCTGTATCCAGTTGCCTTCATCCACCCGTTGGCCAGCAGGTGGCAGCCCCAGATTGCATGGCCCTGAAAACAAGCCTCACCCAGCCCCCATCTGATGTAGGGGACCCCTCTGTCTGTTCTTATCCCAATTTCCTGGGGAAATTTCCTTCCCACACTTAAGAAAAATTCTTTGCCCTGGAAGTATGTTGTAAAGCCAGCCACCCTGCGCGATGCTCCCTGTGTCTCCCCATGGCCCCAACAACCCTGTTTCCCCGAAAATAAGACATCCCCTGATAAGGCCAATCGGGCTTTTGAGTGCATGTGCTAAAATAAGCCCTCCCCAAAAAGATTTAAATGCAGAGCTCGAAATCAGGTAAGACGGCAAGAGGAGCCCCATCTTGTTCCATGCGCCTAGGGGTGAAATCCTACCGGTTCGGGCGAACCGCTAGGGATTATGGGCATCAGTTCGCCAAACCGGTAGTAATTACCCCTCCTTGGCCCCACCCACGCCCAGCCGATTGCCGCTCACCTCTTCCGGCCGCTCGATATTCCACAGAATTCAATGTTAAACGCAGCAGAGAGAATGCTAGCTTTTCTCCCTCCATTCAGAACGGAGCTGCTGCAGCCTATCCTTTTAAGGTAGTCCCCAGGAGGGAAGGGGGGGAGCAGTTTTTGTGAAAGGCAGGAAAATGGGGAAAGGGATTTTCCTGCCCGTCATCCATTCCTCAATCTCAGCACAGACTGAGGGAAGGATGGTAGGCCGGAATATTCCCTTCCCCATTTTCCTGCCATTCGCGACAAGGAGTGGCTGGGAGGGGAGGGGCCGGTGAGGAGCCTCGATGTGAGTGATGTTGAGTTGGCCACACCCACCCAGTCACATGACCTCCCCCCAACAAGCCACGCCCAAAGAACTGGTAGGGGAATTTTTTAATTTCACCCCTGCATGCGCCCCAAAATAATAAGACCTCCCTGAAAATAAGGCCAAACGCCTATTTTGGGGTTCAAAAAAAATATAAGTCAAGGTCTTATTTTCGGGAAAACATGGTAGCTGATAGCCTTCTGGCTGTGGCCTCAGCAGCTGGCTGGGGTAGGAAAGGGGTCCCTAGGAACTCCCCCTCCCAACAGATCCCTGCACCCTTCCTTGGGGATTTCAGCTCAGAGCTGGGGAACACAGCCTCAGCAGAGCTGCTGGGCCTCTGGCTCCAGGGGGCTCTAAAGGGGTTCATGAAGAGAGAGGGGCCTCTTTGTAGCAGCTGCTCCTGGAGCTTTGCAATGCCGACTTCCATCCTGGGTTCTTTCTGAGCCTGGCCGGAAGGGCTGCCTCTTTCCTGGAGGGTCCTTGGCTGCTCCTTCGTCCGTCCCCCCAAAGGGGACTGGGTCCGTTTCCATCTTCACCTGCAATTGCTGTTTCTCATGACAAAAGACCGAGGGCAGGTCGTTTCCTTGCTATACCCTCAAAAGCTGAATCAATCAGTTCCAAAGCAGTTGGAATGCACTGTAATGCCAAAAAAAAAAAAAAAGAGGAAGAAATACATTTTAGATGACTATGAAAAAGTCTAATAAAGATTATATTTCTCAGTTACATTGTTCTGCATGGTCTTCCAGTTTTTACCAACCTAAAGAGTCGCCTTTGGCTTCCACAATTCTCCGATCTCCATTGAACAGTGGGGTGACCTGCACCCCCAGAACACAGGGGACGGAACTTGGCTGACCCTTTCTCAGGCCTCTCTTCTGTTGTGGCCCACCAGCGGCCAGCAGAGCTGATAGCAGAGTCGGACAGTGAGGAGGTTGGGGAGGAACGTGGGCCATTCCTGGAGTCTGGAGAAGGTTCGGACGAGGGCTCTGCATCGGAGGCAGAGAGAAGGCCAGGGCCATCTGGTAGTTATGTGCTGCCTCCGGAATCTGACATCAGCGAGGCAGAAGAACAGTGTGAGCCTGTTCCCAGTGTGTGCATGCGCAGAGCTGCCAGAAGGCAAGAACATTTTTTTTTTAAAAAAAAGGTGACTCGAGAGTAAGGCTTGGAGATGATTGGCCCCTCCCATAAGACATAACAGAGGAGCAAACGGACGTGAGCCTTTGCAGGAAGCAATTAGTTCATATATTCAATTCAAGCTCTGAGAAGTCAGTTTGACTCTGCTCCGTTTGGCCTTGCAAAACTAATTGACAATTAGGTCTCTGGCAGCGTTTCAAGGGAGATAAAGGTGGGTGCTTATCAACATTATCCTGAAAGACTGTGTCAACTCGAGCAGACATCTGTCGGAATCTTCTCAGACTGAATCGTTACGGGCTGTGAATGACCATAATTCACAGCCATCTCAAAAGAATTTTTTTGGGACTAAGATAGTGATACATGCTTTCTCAGGAAGCCTACTTCAGAACATCTTCCCTCTCTGCCTGGGTGGGGGTGGATTCTGTCAGGGTGCTAATTAATCCCATTCTGCTTTTGGATAATCGCACCTTGATTTAGAGACATGGATCGAGACTTTTCCTTGCAAGTATACATTAAGAAAATAAACCCGAAAGATATATCTTCTAAGAAAAACTCATTTATTTGTTATAAAGAAAATAAAACATCTCACTATCTAAATTAGTTACATTTTGGCAACGTTCCTGCCAGTCACCTCTCTGTGGTCGGACCTCTCCTGTGAAGGAATGCGGACATGCGTAGTGGATCAGAGATAAGGACTTGGCAAGCTACGGAAAGTCTGAAAATCCAAAAATAAGAGCTCATCTGGCAAATAAGGGACTTGGTAGCACAGTGGTCGAAAGCACCCTGTTATTAACACAGCTGCCTGCAATTACTGCTGGTTCGAATCTCTCCAAGGCTCAAGGTTGACTCAGCCTTCCATCCTTTCTAAGGTAGGTGAAATGAGGACCCAGTTTGTGGGGGCAATAAGCTGACTTTGTATAAAATATACAAAAGAATGAAGGCTATTGCTTAACGCATTGTAAGCCGCCCTGAGTCTCCGGAGAAGGGTGGCATATAAATCAAATTAAAAAAAATAATAATACAAAAACGCAGTGACAGATTCTGCATTTCCTGACCTGAAGTGGGGCCAGCCGATAAGGCAGGGGGAGGTACGGGAGGTCCTTGACCAAACTTCCAGGTCTGCAAAAGCTCCTGCTGGCTACTCGGCTATATGTTGTGGCTGAACTAACTGGGCTTCTCAGAGACCCTCCCCACAGAGATCGCTTGAGTCCTGGGCCCTACCTAACAAAATGAAATTCAGCGTAGAGAAAAGGAAAGTCTTACACTTGGGCAAGAAAAACCAAAAGTTTTTCTGTTATTAACACAGCTGCCTGCAATTTCTGCTGGTTTGAATCTCGCCAGGCTCAAGGTTGACTCAGCCTTCCATCCTTTCTAAGGTAGGTGAAATGAGGACCCAGTTTGTGGGGGCAATAAGCTGACTTTGTATAAAAAAATATACAAAAGGATGAAGGCTATTGCTTAACGCATTGTAAGCCGCCCTGAGTCTCCGGAGAAGGGCGGCATATAAATCAAATTAAAAAAAAAAAAGCTGGTGAAGAAAACAAGATTTTTCCCAGGACTGAACAGGACAATTGAGAAATAGCATGTTTCCCTACTTCTGATGGGCCAAGAAGGCCCGAAAATCAGTTGGCGCACCAGTTGACAGGTACAAAGCAAAGCCACAAAGCAGCTGCTCTGACAGCCACAAGTCTGTGATCATGAACAACAAAGAGACACACACCCCTCCTCATCTGCCCATTTGCAGACACAAATGGGTAGGTCTAAATATTTCTCAAAAACTTACAAAGTAGACCAGAGGCAGGAGAGGGTTGTAATGCCCTGTTTTGCCCACTAGGGGAAGATAAAGCATAATGAATGGTCCCAGTTTTGAATTAATCTCTCAATTTTCCTCCTGGCTCTAAATCAGGGGTGTCAAACTCGATTTCTTTGAGGGCCACATCAGGGCTGTGTTTGACCTCAGAGGGCCAGTGGGTGGGCATGGCCAAATCACCATCGTTCGTGTTCGGGGGGGGCATCTATGGTGGCCAAGTGCTAAGGCAGGACTTCCCTGAGATCCTCCCTCACTCTCATTATAATCTTCCTTCCTTCCTTCCTTCCTTCCTTCCTTCCTTCCTTCCTTCCTTCCTTCCTTCCTTCCTTCCTTCCTTCCTTCCTTCCTTCCTTCTTTCCTTCCTTCCTTCCCCAGTGGTGGGGTAATTTAACAACCGGTTCTCTGCCCTAATGATTTCTTCCAACAACCAGTTTGCCAAACTGCTCAGAAAGTTAACAACCGGTTCTCTCAAAGTGGTGCGAACTGGCTGAATCCCACCACTGTTCCTTCCTTCCATCCGTCCGTCTGTCCTTCCTTTTCTTCTTTTTCCTTCCCTCTTCCTTCTCCTTTCTTCTTCCTTCCCCTTTCCTTCTATTTTTCCTTCCTTGCTCTTTTACCCTCTTTCTTTCTTTTTCCTTGTCTTTCCTCTTTCCCTTTCTCTTTTCCTGTCCCTTCTTGCGTGCTCAAATGCAAAAGGGGAAACATTTCTACTTTTGTTTTGTGTTTAGTTTGTTTTGCTAGTCCTCAGCCAGCGAAAAGGGAGCTCAGCCTCCCCGTGTTCCATTTTCGCTGGCAGAGGCACCACGGGCCAGTCCTTTGCTGTTTCCAGGCTGGCCCCAGGGGCCAGATCTAAGCATCCCGTGGGCTGGATCCGGCCCGCGGGCCTTGAGTTTCACACCCCTGCTCTAAAAGTATTTTATTGAGAACTGCTCCATTTCCCTACCTAAAGTTCCATTTAAATTTTCATTCAGTTCAGTTCCAATCAGTGAACTGAATTTTTCAGAGGGTGGGGGATTTGGATAGCCTGTCACCAACACCCAGAGCAGTGGTGGATTCCTCCTGGTTTGGCCCGGTTCACCCGAGCCGGTAGCGGTGACGATATGATGTCACCGAACCGGTTCTCCCACGCCCCCACGCCCCCCCACCCCACCCCTGCGTTATTCTTACCTTTTATTTGGCCCCACCCCCAATCTATTACTGCCTCCTGAATCCCAGCTGATGGCTAGAGGGAAAAAAACTGTTTAAATTCTTGCTGCAGGGCTTCAAAGGGCCGTCCTACAGCTGATCAGTGTTAAAAGAAAACAAATGAGTAGACCGGTGCCTGCAAAAATACATGAATAGATCAGTGCCTGCAAAAATAAATGGGTAGACCAGTGCCTGCAAAAATAAATGGGTAGACCAGTGCCTGCAAAAAATAAATGCGTACATCGGTACAGCTCTGCAAGCAGTTAAAAGCCTGGTAGACCAGTACCTCTGTTACATCCTAAAGAATTGTCACATGACCATCAAGCCATGCCCACAAAATAAGCCACGCCCACAGAACCGGTAGTGAAAAAATTTAGAACCCACCCCTGACCCAGAGGGTGTTGGGTAGCTGCTTTTCCAACTAATTATCCGTCTGCCAAACTGTTTCTTTCTCGGAGCACAGTAGAGGATGGGTCACCTGGTGTCCTACCTTCCATCTCTATTCTGCGGCTGCCATGCACACAAAGGCTGAAAATCTCCAACACACTCCCTTTAGGGCAGGGGTGAAATGTACAATTTGTTACTACTGGTTCTGTGGGCGTGGCTTGGTGGGGGTGGGTGGGTAATGTGACTGGGTGGGCGTGGCCAACTTTTTTTTTTTTTTTAACTTTTCAAAGCATTTTTTCTAATGCTTTGAAAAGACTCTGCCGATCAGGAAACTCAGCTGGGATCGTCAGAGACTTTTCAAAGCATTTTTTTACCACCTCTTTGGCCAAGAGGTTGCAGAAAAAAATGCTTTGAAAAGCCTCTGACTATCCTAGCTGAGCCGCGCGATCATCAGAGGCTTTTTTTTTTAACTTTTAAAAGCATCTTTTCGTGGGAAGAGGTTGTAGAAAAAATGCTTTTAAAAGTAAAAAAAAAAAAGCCTCTGATGATCCTGCAGCTCAGCTGGGCATGGGGGGGGGCAGAGATTTTTGCTACCGGTTCTCCGAACCACTTCCCGCTATTGCTACCGGATCGGGTGATCCGGTCCGAACCGGGAGCATTTCACCCCTGCTTTAGGGCACAGTCCAGGCTAATGACTTGTGGTGTTGCATCCGGTGGCTATGAAAAAGTCTGCGCCTCTTGTTAAAAAGGTAAAGATAAAGGTTCCCCTCGCACATATGTGCTAGTCGTTCCCGACTCTAGGGGGGAATGTTTCATCTCCGTTTCAAAGCCGAAGAGCCAGTGCTGTCCGAAGACATCTCCGTGGTCATGTGACTGGCATGACTAAACGCCAAAGGCACACGGAACACTGTTACCTTCCCACCAAAGGTGGTCCCTATTTTTCTATTTGCAGTTTTTACCTGCTTTCGAACTGCTAGGTTGGCAGAAGCTGGGACAAGTAACGGGAGCTCACCCTGTTACGCGGCACTTGGGATTCGAACCGCTGAACTGCCGACCTTTTGATCGACAAGCTCAGCATCTTAGCCACTGAGCCACTATGTCCCCTGCGCCTCTTGTTAGAGACAGATAAATAGACTAGGACAACCCTCTGTCCTTATATCTCCCACTTATTCATCACGCCTTTCTCTCCTACCTCTTGCCTGCTTTTTGC